CAATCCATAAGCCTCCAATTCGAAAATAAGTGTCTTCCATCACTGAAAGTGTCAGCTTGTCTGGAGGATGTTACCAGGCTCTTCGAGGACTGTTGAAATCTGAGATGACCAACTGTGGACTCCTGGGTGGTGATACCTTAATTTCTTCAGACAGAATCTGAAACCACAACAAGTATTCCCGACATTTTTCTTGGCCCTGTCCAACACCAGGATAAAGCCACACCTTCCATTATTTACAACTGAATAAGAACCCTCTTTTTCAAACCCTTTGCTTTGGATGTAGCTCTTGAATGAGGTTTGTGTGGCCAGTTGTGAACTCTGGAAGAAGGTTTCATCCTTGTAAATGCTGAGCAGTTCTCTGAACAAGTGAAATAGTGTTCCTGGAGGCATGACTGTAAAAATCGATGGAGTACCAGTGATTTTGGGGGGAATATTTTGTTTTGCCTGAAGACATTTGAAAAGCCCAGTTCCTGCAGCATGGGATTTAGGACAAGCATGTGAAAGAAAAACACTGGAGAAACTGAAGCCTATTGCATTTTGAAGGCCATGTTTCCCCTTGTGACTGATGCCTCATTACATAGGCACACTGGATTTTAGTCATATTTAAGCCAGAAAGCCATGGTGGTGGGTCACAAAGACTGTTAGCACCTGCTGTACCTACCTTTCCTAAATGCAAATTACAGCACTTTGTGCTTGCCTGATACATAGTGATTCTTAGAAGCACGTGTTGGTGGTAAGGAAATAGATTTATTTTTTTAAACTATGTTCTATGTTATTGTCTAGTTGAACAACTGAAGTTGTTGCATTGTTTTACTCTTTCCCTACCTCTTGCTTTGTTTATGTAGACTTCAAAAAGTCTCTGTATGTCTAGAATTGCCCCCCCCAAGTATCCAAAGTTAGATGGGAGCCATTTAGCAATGCTCTGTCATTTAGAACAAAACTTTATTTTTATAGAAAGAGGTATTTATCTGAGATCCCAAGATCTTCCCCAGATCAGTGGCAAGAAAATCAGTCCACCTGCAGATCTGTCAACACACCAACTCTGTTTCTGACCACTTTGGGGCAGAAATTGGAGGTTTGGGGTAGAACATTGTTTTCTCCTTCATCCATCGTGGATTGACAAAAGGTAAATTCCAAGGGGAGAGCACTGACCTAAAAAAATATTGCTTTCAGCCAATGTAGATCCCAGTGTGGTGTCTTAGCACCGTAGTGCCCTTTGTCTTTAGCAATAACCATACTCTGAGGTGGTGGCTGTTCCTGTTTTCTTCACAGGGATGGCCTGTTGGCACCTTCAGACTGTGTGTGACAACAGTGTGTGACCTGTTGGCTTTGCTGTCTACCAGGAACTACACTTTGATAACAGTCCCATCTTCAGTGCTGTAAACAGTTGTCTGTTTCATCTTAAATTATCCCAATAAGCAAAACACTCCAGCATTACTGTCAGACAAACTGGGCCAGGTCATTCAGGAATGCAGTAATGACCTTGCCAAGGTCTCGAAGAGTAAAACCAAAACCAATCCCATATCCCACCCCAGAGGTTTTGCCTCTGCCAGGATTCTACACCAGGATAAGTAGCACACAGTGCTTCACCATATAAAGAAGTTATTTGTTATACACTCTGCACACATAGGGAAGAACTGCCTTTGATATTGCTAAATGGTTCCTGTAATCCAACTATAAGTGTAGTTACAGTTCTGCAACCAACAGTTGATGGGAAACCAGATAGAGTAAAACACAGAAGTTCTGTCTGGAGTTGAGCTCTTTCTAGAAATGACCAGGATGTGTCTACCGGCCCCCTGCTTTGCAAGGCCTCACCTTACGTCCTTTGAAAGCCAGTTGACCAAATAGCAAACTTCACCCTGAAGTCAGGCCAAAGTCTCGCCAAACAGACTGCGTAGGTAAGGAACAGTTTTCGCTCTGGTCTTCTAGCAGCAATCTTGGAAGTTGGGACCAGTGGTTTCAGCAGGCCATATGTAGTGTTTAGAATGCTGTTAAATGTTGTAGCCACTCCTTTACCAGGACTTGGACATTCAACTTTAAATATAGGTTGTTAACCCTCACTTTTTTTGAGTCCTACTGATTTAGTGTTTGCGTTGTATTTAATTCATCACGAGAGGGCAAGAAGGAAGAAATAAGCTATCAGGGATTTTTTGCAATTAATACTGAAGCTGCAATATCTAGTTTTAATAATAAATTGACTACTGATTTACCTCTTTGTGGAGTTTCTTGTTTGTGTTTTGATTGTATATGAAAAGTTTTGTATTTAATGTTTTGATAGAAAGTGTATCAATGCACTACAAAGTGTATCAAAGTTTTCAAATAACTTCCAGAAATGTTTCACTACATGGCCTCATTGTACAGGCATACTTGGAACTAAATATAGGAATTGTTCAGTGTGTGAATCTGACGAGATCTAATCAACTGATGATGTTGGTAGGGTACGAGTCTGCATTTTGGGATGGCTAAGACCAGTACTACCTAGAATAAAGTACCTGGTCTTCATCTTCATTTTACATATATATATATCTATAAAATAAAATACATATAAATATGTATATATATGTATATTAGAATTGTAGTTCTGAACTTGCTACATTGAGGAAGAAAATTCTACAAGTACAGATCTAATTCTATAAATTCTAACATATGTAGATAAATTTTGTATGTGACAATTTTTGCTGAAAAGGCGATAATTATTTTGCAACTGTATCCCAACATGTAACAAATTTTTCTTTATTTATAATTTATTTAAAAAATACAGACACTTTTCTCTATTTCAGAGATAATGCCTGAAAACTAGTATTTTATCAATATAGCAGTGTTATGTAGGTGCTGAATTACCAGACTTGGGGATTTCAGAAATCCCTGTCGGTTCTCCCAGCAGGTGGCAACAGAATGTCAGAAAGCAGGTCCACAGGGAACACAGGGAAGCGTTTAGATCTTCTTTCACTTAGGTGTTACAATGTGTGGGAAGTGCAAAGACTTACACCCCCCCAAATTAAAAGAGGTTTTTATGTGATCACCAAAGAACTTAAGAGTGCACTGTTTTGTAAGATGGCACATCACTGTTCTAAAATAATCCACGATTCTGACACTATTGCTGAGTCAGTTAGGTAACCAGTCTGTAGGGAGTGATGTACATCTGGTAGAGGAGAAAAAGGAGTTAACTGTCCTTCATTTGCCTGCTAACTATTTCAATCTCTAGTCAGAACAGAGCTGGTAGATCACAGGACTCAGTGGTTCTCTTGGCCTGAGATCTGGTGGACCGGTGTGCTGGCTTTAGCTGGGATCAAAGTAATTTTCTTTATAGTAGCTGGTATGGGGCTGTGTTTTGGATTTGTGGTGAAAATTGTTGGTACTGCAGGGATGTTTTGGTTACTGCTGAGCAGTGCTAGCACGGAGTCAAGGCCTTTTCTGCCTCTCACACCCCCACCAGCGGGTGGGCTGGGGGTGCACAAGAAGCTGTGAGGGGACACAGCCAGGACAGCTGACCCGAAATGACCAAAGGGTGTTAGCCCTGCTGTCCTGGAGATGTCTGAACACCTGCCTGCCCATAGGAAGTGGTGAATCAACTCCTTGGTTTGCTTTGCTTGTGTGTGGCTTCTGCTTTATTTATTAAACTGTCTTTATCTCGACCCATGGGTTTCCTCCTCTACTCTTCTGATTCAGTGCTGAGTTGCCAGCTGGGGTTAAACTGTCACAACAGTACCTCTAAGTTCTAGATTATTCAAAAATGTGAATTTTTGAAAGACACATTCAGAGATGTGTCTATCTTTAAACAGAGAAAAAGGGTTTAGGATTCCTATGGCACCTCCCACACAGGTTGAATGCCAGCATGGAGCAGGATGACTTACTTCCAAGCATCCAGGTCCAGGCCATATCTGCCTCATGTCTCCATGGAGCAGAGCCCAGAGGCTGACTCTGGAGTCAACAAAACTCACTGGTACCTGGGAGCACAGTCATCCACTGTGCTTTCGGGTTACCCTCTAACTCCAGGCCGAGGGGTTTCTGCCCAAGGACTCCACACACAGGCAGACAGAGCAACGTCGGGAAACCTCATGAAAAAGTGTCTGCCTGAGTCTTACTCAGGGTTTTTACATCTGTGTCTGGCCTTCACCCCAGAGCAACACGTATTTCCAGCACTTGAGTTTATGGGCTAACTCAAGACAGAGCAGATCAAGCATTATCTTTGTTCTGGAGCAGATTGACAAGGGCCTTTTTATCAGCTGGTGTGAGAAAGGGAAAAATAGAAACCTGGCTCATCCTCAGGCTCTTCAATTGATTCTAGAGAGAATAGACTCAGCCGTTGTGCTCCCAGTGGCTAGGGGAGAGCAGAGAAAATGCCACAAAAGACTAAGTTGCAAACAATTTAGTAATTCACAGAGCTCTTTTAGGTTTTGTAGCTGCTAGATCTGACATGTTGACTCAAAGTGTGCCTAGGAGGTTTGGGTGGTGGACTGCTCAAAGTATTTGCCGTGAGCCTTTTTCCTGAGGTGATGCTCTGCTCAGAGCTCACATCTGGTGAAGCTGTGAGCATTAACGTTTCAGACTGCCTGGAGCACCAGAGCTTTCTGGAATGTTACCGCTTCCACTGGAAGAAGAACACTAAAACAGCAAGAACACTAGAACAACCTATTCCTTAGTCTCAAAGCAACAATCCGATGGTTACCTGGAGAACTAGGAGACTCAACTTAAACAAAGTAGCAGATAGAAATAATTATAGAAATTCTTTTCTGTAAAAAAATATTTCTGGCTCTAGAAACCTCTGTAGCTTTTACCAGCCAAAATCAAAGAGTAGTGATTTGCAGGTTTATGTAAAGAACAGCAAAGTGAAGACTATACCAAAGTAAATGAGTTTACAAAAAATGGTATGAACTATTTCTCACTGTTAAAATGTAGGTGTTTAAGAAGACACTTACATGCTGGTTACCACCAGTGGCAGAACAATCTGTTAATATCATCACATCAAAGTAGACTAACCTACATTTTAGGAATCCTCTATTTAAACTTCTGCTGATGAAACATCATAATAAACAGTACATTTATAAAGTCAGGGGATACATAACACTCATCACTCATGTTCAAGCAATTAAACACTCTTTGTTACCTAGGAATTGCAAACATGAGGATTTCTCTGCTGTATTCCAATGCTGAACTAGTGCAGAAGGAGCAAAGGGGTGGAGGCAACTGCCCCAATTTGGTGTCAGAACGTTGGTGTGATGCCTCCAGCTCTGTCCTGCAATAAACACTGCAATAAGAATCAAATTTCTTTCTGTGTTTGGACAGATGAGCGAGAGTCTGTACTGAATGCTGTCCCACACTGCTGACAGCCCAGATGACTGTAAAAAAGCAATAAGAGTCAATTGAAATGTTACTAGAGAGGCATTAATAGAGAAGCCAGAAGATCATTTAAGAGCACTGGTAGAGCACACTCCAGAATGGTAATTATGTTTACTTTCCTGTTCTTTTTGTTTTTCTTCTACCCCTCTCTTTTCCACTCGTTTGCTCTCTTACGCCTTCTCTATTGGAACTTAGGAGTTATTTTCATGCACACATGTACACATTGGCAGAATAGGACACTGGGGAAGGCACGTGTCTGGTGGGTGACATAAAATCCTCAGGTGTTTGAAAGTACAGTGTGTTCCATGGCCACGCTCTGACTGAACAAGTGTTCCAAACCCGGCCGTGCTGAGTTTGAAGTCTGGGGTGTGCCTGAGCCCTGCCTGGGTGAATTTGCACACGTGGGGTGTGGGGAGGGCAGGAGGCAGCGGTGCAGCAGGGTGACCTCTTCCCACCGCGCTGTGACACTGAAGCGCCGCAGCAGGTGCCGGGCCCAGGCTGTGCCTCCCGCCCTGCAGCCCAGAGCCAGGCTCCTGCACAGACCTGCCACCACTCATCCCAACGGGAAGGAAACGCCGCTGCAGACACCATGGTAAGGGGGATGTGGGAACAGCAGTCATGTGGGGATGGGGAGGGCTGTGGGCAAGTAACAAACTGCCATTGTTATCAGTACTTTGTGCCACAAAACCCTGGTCTCACGCACCAATTACCACATAAGAGGACGGGAAAGGAGTGTCAGAAAATCTCAGTGAAGCATTAAGGCACAGTGAGACAAAGTTTTCTTCAGAGAGTCCTTAATTAGTGTAATTATAACATAAATTAGATCTGGAGTCATAGCTGTCTAGTACTTTCTGTTGTGATGACGTTTTCTCAACACTGGTTCATTTTTATATAAGTGAATATAATTTTTTTTAGAAATAAAAGAAAAAAGTCACTTACCTTTGTGTCTTAAATTATTTTAGCCCCAAAGGCTGCACTGTCCGTAGCTGTATGGTGTATGCATGTGTGTTTCTGGAGTCCATGAATCCTTTTACATATGTATGCATTTAAGTAAGTGAAAAAAAAAAGGCCCTTCATTTTCAGGAGCTGGGGTTTTGTTATAAATTTGTAGAAATCTCTCAAAACCTCTTAGAATGTGAAAAACCCATTTCACCTTGTACCCCAATATACATTTAGCACTAAGTCTAATTTTGGTGCAGAGAAGTATGTTACTTTCTGCCAGTAAAGCTGCAGGTCCAAAAGGAGAGAGCTCATTTTGCAAGCAAGATACACACGTCCACAGGCTCCCCGGACCTAGGGCAGTAAGTTTCTGGAGCAGCTGGAAGAATAAAGTCTGCCTTTGTGCAATATGTACTAGAGCCAGGTACTTGTCTGTTAATTTTTAAGAGTTAAAGCTGTCCCAGGTTTAGTTTCACAGAGGACCTGGTCCTTTCTACTGTCCCTTGGTAGATAAAAGGACAGTTTGTTAGGCCTGTCCTGGTATATTAGCGGTGGGACGTGAAACATGAGTTTGGAGTAGGCTCCAAATTTAAATATCATGCAAAGATCAGTTTACTGTGCCTGTGACTCTGGAGAAGGCCCACTCCCTTCCCTGCCTAAAGTCTGGTGTCTATTTTAATGCTGTTTACTATGCAAAATCAGAAACTTCTTTGTCAGTGTCTTCTCTGCTTGGCAGAATATTTCCAAATTACTGCTGGGGTAGGAGAAGATGGAATGGCTCGAAAGCCAGAGTTGAGACACCGTTTCAAACTAGTGCAGCTGAAAACTCAGTCTAAAAGGAAAACCTTCAACTGTAGTCCTGTACTAAGCTTTACAATATTAACTTTCTAAGGGAGCATTCACTTGTTCCAGCTGTGCAAAACCAGATCAATTCCTCTACTGATCTGAGGAACTGAGCAAAGCAGCTCTTTAGGTTCAAAGTATTGCTTGACCTGTAATTGTAGCTTTGCTCTAAAATACATACTTTTAAGAAGTCAGCTGGCCTCATTGCTGTGTTTAAAAGGAAAAGACCTTATTTTTTTCTTGCTGCCAGCCTCACAGATTCACATTGGGATTTAAAAGAAAAGCAGGAGCCTGCCCTGTGCAAAATCAGCATTAATTGAATTCTCTAAGCACAAATATGCTTTCAGTGTCTCCTGAGTAATCCTCCAGATTGAGACACACTGACCTATGAAGCCTCATTGTCACTGAAATAACTCAGAGACTTTTGCACAACTCACTTGAGAAACACAGGGTTGTGCAAGAACACTTGAGAGCACATTTCACATGCTGCTGCACATGCATTTGCAGAGTCAGGATCTTAGAAATCAGTACTGAATAGAAATAATTTATTTCATCGAATGAAATATTTAAATTGACTTTCCGTGTTCGTTTGAACTTCTGGGGATGGCTAACCAGGGCAGTGATGACTTTTGAAATTCTAGTTGCTTCAGAAAAAATATCTTCAGCTACATATATGTCAATTTGTGAAGAAAACACTGGTCCAGAGATGTTGCTGGTCACATATCGTGCCTGACGATTTAGTTTTTTGGGAATTTCATTCTCAGGTCACAGGATGATTTTGCAGGGTAAGCAGTTGCAGAATAATAATAAAAAAAAAAAGTTAATGGTCAAATCTGATACTAAGTCATTGGTTATCTGTAAATGCAGTATTACAAAATAAAAATAAATGAGGACCATCCTCTGCTCTTGAAGCCAGGTAGCATGAACTGCTTCACAATTAGGCATCTCAATCCTCCTTTGCTCTCCAAAGCCTGGCAGTGGTCAGTGAGCTGCTCGCTGGAAACCATTCTTGACAATGAGTTGTATTCTGTACCCAAGCATTGTCTAGAAAAGTATTAAGTGGTCTAAGCCAAGACTGTGCCAGAGTGTGCTAATTATCAGTCAGCAGAGGTGATCACAGGCCAGTGTTCAGTGCTATGACCTGCCTCCTTCTTACTCCCTAGTATAGGCAGGGCCATTGGGATCACAAACAGAGCTCAGGCATCTTTAATTGCAATTGCTCCAAATTAGAACCAAAGGTGAAAAACTCCATATGTCTGAAATCGCTCTCTCCTCAAAAAACTGCCTTCACTCCACCCCGTGTTGTAATTGTTGGGACTAACTCAGAAGTATTTGGTTGATAATTCTGTTTGTGAACTTAGGAAACCCAGCACCAGGGCCTTTGTGCTCCTGTACTTTTAATTGTAAAGAATTTTGGAGCAATTGGCACCTGCCTATTTTAGCCTGGTGTTACACACATTGTTTTCTTTTCCTGGGTGCCACAGAAAAAACGCTCAAAATTAGGCAAATAAACAGTCTATTCTGCAATGACACTGCCTGATAAGCAATGGACCAATCCAACGTAAAATTATAGATGCTCAGGAGCTGGAAGGAACATTTGTTTCAACCAAGAGAATCTGAAACGATTTCCTTAGGTGAATATTGCTTAAAGCAATTCTTCCAAGTTTCCACGCTAGCCTGCTACCAGAGGCGAGAAGGATCAAAAGGCATCCCCTGTCTTGGGTTACATAAAGTTGAAGGATACCACATGGCTGTGTCAGGTTCCAGCCAGGAGTAAAAATAAACTAAACTGGGATGTTCTCCTCAGCAGGGCCAATCCAGGAGGAAAGGTGGGGTTTGTGTAATTGAGATTAATTTTTTTCCCTGACTGTTTTCATGCACTTACATAGTACAGCACATAGATCTTGATTTTTAAAAGAATTGTCCCTGTATCCAGCATGAATATGTACAGTCTCACTGGGGCTGTGGGGCTGAACTACCAAGTGAATTGCTGACAATGACAGGTCACCAAATTTTTGGAACAGGAAGACACTGGGGAAAAAATTAACCACTAGGAGCAAGGAGGACTAACGAGCACTGTTTTTTCTGCCCCCGCCTCTGCTCTCTCCCCTTAGCGCGAGTGCATCTCCATTCACGTTGGCCAGGCTGGAGTTCAGATAGGAAATGCATGCTGGGAACTCTTCTGCCTGGAGCACGGCATTCAGCCAGACGGCACCTTCAAGGATCTGCAAGACAAACTCAAGTGTGATGACTCCTTTACCACGTTTTTCAACGAAACAGCCACTGGGAAGCACGTGCCACGGGCTGTAATGGTGGACTTGGAACCAACTGTAGTAGGTCAGTATAGAAATAAACCTGCAAAATGGAGGTGAGGTTGCTTTTCCTAATATCACCATGCCATGCCACCAGCCTCCACCGGCACAAAACAGCCCTTTGTCCTGTGGTCTACCCCTAGATAGCATGAAATTAACTTTCTTGTGACAGAGAACGCCAGATTCTGTCACAGGTCTTACAGACATAGGAACAGGAGGATGCCCAGCAGTTTAATAGCTGGTGTGTACCACTTCTCTTTGCACCAACATTTAACTTCTGGGTTTGTTTATCGTGACATTTCTGCCATTTGAATTCTGCTCTACTCCAGTTCGGATTCAAAGCAGGAGCCTGACAGTTTCCCTCCAGCAACATAAGGATGTCTAAGAACTGGGGTACCTGATTTTCTTCATACTCTATTTCTGGGGACTTGTCTGGCTCTACTTGTCACTGAGAAGTTCATGAGGAGACAACTTCTGTGGCTGGATACAAGATACACCATAAACCCACCAAATGCAACAATGAAAAGTTGCTCAGGAGACATTTCCCTTCTCCATCAGCATCTGTTTTTTGGCATTATGACCTCCTGTGACTTAAAGGTTGCATCAATGCCAACCACAACCAGAACTTGTTGGCACTGGAGCACTTGCAGCTTCTTACAATTTCTCTTTCTCCTTCAGATGAAGTGCGGGCTGGCACCTTCCGGGAACTTTTTCATCCAGAACAGCTGATCACTGGAAAGGAGGATGCAGCCAATAACTATGCCCGTGGCCACTACACCATTGGCAAAGAAAGCATTGATGCAGTGCTTGATCGTGTCCGTAAGCTGGTAAGTCCCAGTTGTTTTGAAGCAGCAGCCTCGGATTCTGCAGGAGGAAGAAGGGCAGAACTAACACCTTGTTGGCTGCAAACAATACCAGTGGTTCAGAAAAGAGATTGCAAGACATACAGAGGCATCATCATTAGTCCAAGAGAGAGAAGCCCTGTAGTTCACTTCCCAGCTATGTGCCTCCAGGTGTTTTTATAAAGTCGTTCTGAATATTTAACTCTCCATTATCAGTACAGCCCTAGAGCATCAGTACTGATACGGAAGGGTGGATTGGGCAGTTGTACATTTCCAGTTTCAGTTAGACTAACCAAAACAAGAGTGAAATTCAGAGAGTGAAGGCCTGGACAGATAATGCTCCAATTTTATGTTGTAAGCTGAGCCAGTGAGGGAAGCAAAGCATGAGTATCACCAGCCCTTTCTCAAGAAAAACTGACGTGAAATCTATGCTGTGTGTTGCTGATGATGGCTCTCTCCTTCAGCTCAGGATATGCTCACACAAATTATTTTCATTCCTTTTCAACCCTTCCTCTTTTGCTTTCTCTTTTGCTTTCTAGACTGATGCGTGTTCTGGGCTGCAAGGATTCCTGATCTTCCACAGCTTTGGTGGGGGTACTGGCTCTGGCTTTACCTCCTTACTGATGGAACGCCTCTCTGTGGATTATGGAAAGAAGTCCAAACTGGAGTTTGCCATCTACCCAGCCCCTCAGGTCTCCACCGCTGTGGTGGAACCCTACAATTCCATCCTGACCACGCACACCACCCTGGAGCATTCGGACTGCGCCTTCATGGTGGATAACGAGGCCATCTACGACATCTGCCGCCGGAACCTGGGCATCGAGCGCCCCACCTACACCAACCTCAACCGCCTCATCAGCCAGATCGTCTCCTCCATCACCGCCTCGCTGCGCTTCGACGGGGCCCTCAACGTGGACCTGACGGAGTTCCAGACAAACCTGGTACCCTACCCACGCATCCACTTCCCCCTGGTGACCTACGCCCCCATCATCTCCTCCGACAGGGCGCACCACGAGCAGCTCTCGGTGGCTGAAATCACCAACGCCTGCTTCGAGCCCAACAACCAGATGGTGAAGTGCGACCCGAGGCACGGGAAGTACATGGCCTGCTGCATGCTCTACAGGGGGGACGTGGTCCCCAAAGAGGTCAACGTGGCAATCGCCGCCATCAAGACCAAGAGAACCATCCAGTTTGTCGATTGGTGCCCAACAGGCTTCAAGGTGAGCAGAGCAGAGATGCCATGAGCTTCTCTTTAGTGTCCAAAGGGTTCAGTCTGGCAGGAAACTTGTATTAAAGTTTTCAATCTTGTGTATTTCCCAGTGAATGTAAGAAAGATGCATTTATATAAAGTGTGCCTGTTCTCCTTTGAACACCCCAGTGACACAGGCTTCTACATATTTAAATAAGTGGAAATCTGAAGTGTGTATGAGGTAAAATTTAAAGAAGTATTAATTTCAGACCTGAATTTGGGAACCACCAATGAGTGCTCCCTCTGAAGCACCATCTAAAACTAAGGAAATACCAAAACTGATAGAGTTAGTAAACAGAAATGTTGATACTAGGGAATCTGTTAGTTCACCAAGAAATATTATACAGCCTCTCCCTGCCTGCTATGTAGCAGTGTTGGTAACATATTTTCAACAATTTAACAGTGGAAAAATATTTGCCATACGAACAGCTCCTTTAACGATGAAAACTTTTAACTGGGAACCAACTTTCTGTATCAGTTTCTGCAGAGTATCTTGGTTAAACTGTATGTTCGGTATCAAGTAGCTGTTAAGAAAGCTACAAACTTGCCAGTGTACATTAAGCAGAAGGATAATACAGATATTAAAATGAGCACGTATCGTATCATACTCTTTGACGTCTGTAATGGCATCTGCCATCTGGTAGTTATGATACGACTCTACCCCAGCATCTGTAACTTTACTCTTATTTTTTCTGCTCCTCCTTTTATACAACTTTCTCTCATATTCCTGTTTCCAGGTTGGGATCAACTATCAGCCTCCCACCGTAGTTCCTGGTGGAGACCTAGCCCAAGTTCAGCGAGCGGTCTGCATGCTGAGCAACACCACGGCCATCGCCGAGGCTTGGGCCAGGCTTGACCACAAGTTTGACCTGATGTACGCCAAGAGAGCTTTTGTGCACTGGTACGTGGGGGAAGGCATGGAGGAGGGAGAATTTGCAGAGGCCCGAGAGGACCTGGCTGCCCTGGAAAAGGACTATGAAGAAGTGGGAACTGACTCGTTTGAAGAAGAAAATGATGGGGAGTAATTTTAAAATACACTTCGTTTCCTAGTGAGCACAGAATCGTCTCCGTGTCTACAATTTGCTCACCCTTTTTGTATGTTGTAAACGTAAATTCAGGAGACATCATAGAGAGACATTTTTTTTATTCCATAAGTGACAGGCAAATTGTCCTATAAGGTATGATCACTTGTAGTAATGCTCCACCACTCCCAGCAAGGCAAAAAAGGCTTGCTCCTCCTTGCACATTTGATGTGAGCCTCTTTAAGCTCTAATGTACATGATAAACTCACTACATTCAACACAGGTCATCTGTGGCATTCTCCACGATATTTGAAAAGTCATGGCAGTCAGATGAAGTCCCAGGTGACTGGAAAAAGGGAAGCATCGTACCCATTCTTAAAAAGGGCACAAGAGAGGACCCTCTGAACTGCCGACCTGTCAGTCTCACCTCTGTGCTTGGGAGGATCATGGAGCAGATCTTCCTGGAAGCTATGCTAAGACACACGGGGATTTAATTGGGTGCTCATGCATAAATTTATTGGGAATTTATTAATACCTTTGTCTGATGAGGTTCTCCTACCTGCATTTGTGGTCCTCCTTCCTCATTTCAGAAGCTGAGTTTTTGTGATGATAATACAGAATTCCTCTGAAGAAAGATGTGCCTATAAAAAGGAAGACAATTCTTAGAAATACCCAAGCTGCCTTTCTTTCAAGACTGTGAACTTTCAGACCCTAAAAGCCTCCTTTCTGTGATTGATCCTGCCAGATTTTTTTCTCAAAAAGCAAGACAATCTCTCTCCTTTGTTGCACAGAGGTGTTCCTAAATCCCCAATGAATTTATGCATGAGCACCCAATTACTTCATGCATCAGCTGCCACAGATATCACACCATTTCTTACAGTCTTGTGCAATTTCACTTCAGGTATTGTCAAATGAATTCATTTGTCATCACATATTCTGAGTCAAATCAGAAGCCAAGCAAACCTGAACAATAATTCTTAATTTCTCTACATTTATATATATAAACTTTTACTGATGCAGAAATGTTACTAAATCACACATCTTTGTTTAAAAAGGAAGGTATTTCCTCTGAGTCTCACTCAATGAGTTGAGTAAACCTTGCTGCTTTTCATGTTAAATATGAAGCTGATTTCACAATTGCTTCTTCCAGATTTTCATATGGGAAATCTTGCCCATGGAGAAAAACAGAATAGATAGTGATTACAGTGGTGACTATTATAATGTTTGACAAGAGCCTAAAGCTGGTCCGCACTGGATCGGGACTGGGATCCAGAATGGAGGAAAACCTGGACTGGATCACAGCTGGAATTTGGAATGGGGGAAAACTCAAACTGTATCAGAGCCAGGATCCAGCATGGGAAAAAACTCAGATTGGATTGGGCCTGGGACCCGGAATGGGGACGGGGAGCCCAGACTGGATTAAGTCCAGAATCTGGAATGGGAGGAAACCCAGAATGGTTTGGGGCTGGAATCAGGAATGGGGGAAAAACTAGACTGTATTGTGGCCAGAACCACGTTTTATTCTTAGTGCAAGACGATGGGGTTTGATCCCATTCCTTTGTACAGAGATGTACATCAGAAATACACCCATGTTGCTAAATCAAGAAAATCAAATTGCTTCAATGGTGTGAGCAACAAAATGCTTACAGGAATTCAAAATGTAGGAGTAGCTCAAGGGGTACAGTTTGCACTTGTTCCTGTCTAACAGTGAGGAGATGGTCCTGCAATTGAACAATTGCATTCCAGAGGATGGGGAAATCCTTTCCAGAAGATGCTGTCCTACCTACATTTGTGGTCCTCCTTGCTCAGAAGCTGAGTCTTTTATGATTTTAATACAGAATTCCTTTAAAGAAAGATGTGCCCATAAAAAGACAATTCTTAGAGATACCCAAGTTGCCTTTCTTTTGAGACTGTGAACTTTCAGACCTTGAAAACCTCCCTTCTGTGACTGATTCTGCCAGATTTCTTCTCAAAAAACAAGACAATCTCTCTTCTTTGTTGCACAGAGGTGTTAATAAATTCCCAATAAATTTATGCATGAGCACCCAACTACTTCATGCATGAGTGCATAACTACCTCATCTTTCCTGCTCTTTTTTCTCTCCCTTTTCCCTTACCTTTCCTGCCCTTTCTCCCCCTCATGTTTCCCACCCTTTTTTCCTCACATTTTCCAGGCTTTACCACCTCAACTTTCCCTCAACTCTCCTTTCCCTCCTCACCTGACCCACCCTTTTCCCCCTTACCTTTCCCACCCTTTTTACTCCCTTTTTGCCTCGTATTTCCTGCCCTTTTTCACCTCACTTTTGCCACCCTTTTTCTCTCCCTTTTCTCACCTTTTTTCTCTCCCTTTTCCTGTCTTTTTTCCCCTGGGAGCACTGGGGAGGGACTGGGATGGGACTGAGGGTACTTGGGAGGGGCTGGGGGCACTGGGATGCACTGGGATGGGACTGGAGGCACCGGGGAAGGTGAAATCAGAAGGAGAAAGGAAGAAGTTCTTCCCTGTGTCCGCAGGCTGGGGATGCGAAAATAATTTCTAGATAAGGTTCTTTTACCTGCATTTTAGGTCCTCCTTCATCATTTCAGAAGCTGAGTTTTTTATGATGTTAATACAGAATTCCTCTGAAGAAAGATGTGCCTGCAAAAAGTAAGACAATTCTTAGAAATACCCAAGTTGCCTTTCTTTCGAGACTGTGAACTTTCAGACCCTGAAAACCTCCTTTCTGTGACTGATTCTGCCAGATTTCTTCTCAAAAAGCAAGACCAACCTCTCTCCTTTGCTGCACAAAGGTGTTAATAAATTCATAATCAATTCATGCATGAGCACCCAATTACTTCATGCATGAATCCGAAATTGCATCATGCATAAGTGCCCAATGAAATGAAATAATGAAATTAAAAGAAATGAAATAATGAAAATAAACAATGAAAGGAAATGAAATAATGAAATGAAAGATGAAATTAAAAGAAATGAAATAATGAAAAGAAACAACTATTTCATGAAATTAAATAATGAAATGATATAATGAAATGAAATAGTGGAATGAAATGAAGTTCATGTAATTTCATTCTATTCCAGTTCCATGAAATTTCATTTTATTTCATTTCTGGAATTTTCATTCCATTAAATTTCATTTCATTTCACTTTGATATAAATCTTTTTACTTTTGTGACAATTACTATCATGTGCCTTTTTAGCAGTTTCTGCTTAAAGAGCTCCATTTGCCTCAACATTTCTTCATAGTTTCATTCTAAGAAGGAAAATAAGGCAGGTTTTTTGGTTGTTTCATTTACCAGCTGACAACGATCTCATATTTTTGGAGGTTGATTTAGACTCCCATAGGCTAGTTGATGGAGAAAAGATGTAAGAACAAAAGGCTAGAAAAAATCACCTGACAGAGGCTTAGTTAAAAATAAACTCAAAAAAGCCACCCACAAAATGCTGAACTGTGAAATTTCCTGACACTGTAAGAAGACACACACAAGTTGGAACAAAAAGAACGAAAAGCCACAAACTACAGGAAGAAAACATCGTTCATGTTCTAGGACCCTTAAGTAGGAAGGAATTTCTGAAGAAGGTTTTAGGGAGGATCAAGATTAAATCAGACGACAAAAGAAAATTTAAAGAACAACGATCAAGGTAACAAAGGGATTTGCAAGTCTTTCTGCTTGCACATCTGGCTAAAAGGTTAACCATGTCCATGTAATCAGGACAAACTAACCTGGCATCTGAGGAAGCTGAGTATTGTGGCATACCTAGCACTGCTAAAACTCACGTTCCAGTGGGGGAAAGCTGCTGGTGTACCCTCTCTGAGAGCAATCCAAAGTTTAGGTGCCTTTAACTCCTCTCCAAAGGTACCTTCCAAAGCATACTTGAACTACATACTTTTGCTATGCCAGGAACCTGAGGTATTCAGGCTTCCAGGTTATTGCCTCATTTAGACACCTGGATTTATGTAGGATGAATCTAAGTCACGTTATCAAAAATGATGTGTAAATGTAAATGTCTGCAACATTGACTCGATTTACAAAGTTGTTTGGATTCTTTTATAGTAAAAATTAAATGTAAAACAGTGTTGTTAGTACAAAAACTAATAATTATTTTATATCCAGACAAGTAATGTCAACATCATTTGACAAATAATGTAATGGTTCTTGGTAACAGTAATAAAGAATGCACTTCAGCAGTTTGAAATTATTCTTAAATACACATACATCAGTTCTCTCTGATTTCTTGTGTATCCACGAGATTGCCAAAGGGAACACATTCCATCCAGCAGGCATTGGATTAAACACAATGCATTTCAATATGCTGCAGCAAAATAGATTTCTCCATTTCATTTCCGCAGAAAGTCCATACAATACACCAGGTCAAGCGTAAACTCTAGGTAATTCTATTCCTTCCTGCCTGCTTTTAAGTAATCTCCGGCCCTTGAACATTCCCTTTGCCTTTTTTATAAACATGGTAACACTTATTCACCTAACTCTCGTGTATCGACAGGCTGTATTAGCCCAAGACTTGTACAACTACAAAACTTCCAGTAGCAGGGACGGGCAATTTGATAGATTTTACCAGGCCCATTCTCTGCTTCCCTTACACTGTTTTGACTACAGCATAACTCCACAGATTTCACCACTGTGAAATCACATGGTTCAGGAAAGGAGATCTGGAACTCTGAACCTTCTTTTGCTGCAGAGGGGCCTAGAAAGAGTATCTCCCAGTTCACCCAAAAATAGAGTGTCCTGGAGGTTTCCACTCCATTCTTCCACTGAGTGTTTCTTACCTGTTTCTGAAGTACTCATTTAGTTAAGTATGTCCTAGAAAAAGACAGGACTCTGCAACTGGACCCACCTGCACTGTTGCTTATGGAGCCCTACCAGTGAAAACCAAATTAGACTCCATGCATGCAAAATTAAATCCCGGTCCCAGTTAGGCCAACAGCAGTTTTGCCATTGGTTTTTCATGCATTTGGCTTTGACCAACACTCCACAAAGCTCCAGTGTGAGCTTCAGAGAATTGTTATTACATCCTTTTCCTGTCTTCTCATGATATGAAGAGCGTAACAACCAGTGTGGATGTCAGGGAAGGCAGAACAAACCTCGAGACCGGTAACTCAGAAAATCCAAGGGCAGGGCTGATCTCATGACAGGCAATTCAGAGGGTGTTGGTATGAAAGCAGACCCCAAGACATCACTGATAGCAAGCTTTCTTGTTCAGCCATGCCTAATACACCTTAATAACAGCTACACAGTCTAAGGTCCATGGTGTTCTCCCTGTTGATAGATTATAATCTCTGAACAGTGCTCACAGCAACACCTCAGCACAGACCTACTGAACACCTCCGGTTTTGTTCATTCACTCTTACACACGGATACGAACGAGTGGACTTCTTTCTTGAGAGAAACTGATACTTTATAGCAGCTGAATGGTGGCCAGAGAGGAAATTCACAGATTTTATTATTCCCAATGGAATCACGTGGGTGGAACATATTTTTAAAATAGATTTATTCCCGCTAGTTTTACTTCTATGCCAGTGCTTCCTCGAAACAGGCCAGTTTGGTTCTACTTGTTCAGGGACAATTGGGAATGACAGGACTAGGGGCAGGCAGGCAGTACAAGACCTTGTCCCCACTACTGGATGTGGGAATGCTGCATCAGCTATTGTTGATGAGAGAGCTGACCCCCTTTCCTCCACGCTAAGAAACCTGTCCCTGCAGGCCACTTTATGATGATGTAAAACCGGGTATATGATCCAAAGAGCTGGAAAACATTGTGTTCTTTGTTTTGTTCTCCCCTGCTCTATTATTAGAGTAGTTAGTGTTCTTATCTCACTGAGTGCTGTTGCCCACACAGTCCCTTCAGGAGCAAGACATCAGTACAAATACGGAAGAAACGAGTCAGAGTGTATTTAGGTGAGTAATGTGTGCTCAAAGCAGCTCAGAGCCGAGTTTCATCCTTGGATACGGAAGCAGGTGGCTGATGAACTCTCAGAACCAGGCAGAGTTACTGAGATGAGAAAGCATAAAATGCTCCCTATGTTAAAAACGTGGAGAAAGGAAGAGCTTGGGAACCATCCGCTATGTCTGCTGTAGCAAGTGCAGTGGCACAGCAACAGTTTTATGTAGTTGGAGTCCCAGTTCAGAAGTGAACTCTTGATCTGAACTAACACTTTGACGCAGATGCATTTCAACCATTAGTCAAACACTTGATCCTGGGGAATAAAATGCTGGAATAACCAACAAGTTTTGGTAAGCACCTAAAAGAAATCAAAGCAGCTAATAGCAGTCAGTAAAAACTTACCTAGACTGAGACAAATCAGTATAATTTCAAGCTACAAAGCCAGGCCTGTGTCTAGAATAAGATGGAGTAGATACCATGTGTCACAAGCTCAGGGAAACTCTCAGTAAGGTCTCACATAGTTTTCAAGTAAATAAACTAGAGGAATGTGGTTTACATGAAACTACTCTAAGGTGGGGACAAATCTGGTTGCTGCAGGAATGACTGCGGGAAACTGCATTGGGGCACATAACAGCCAGATCCAAAGACAGAGGTTGGAAGTACCTGGCTGTGTACCAGCTCCTGAAGAAACAACTCTTAGGTCAAAGCAAACCACTGGCTGAATTGTGTCAGTACTGTGCCAGAAAAGGTAAATTATACAGAGGTGTATAAATCAGAGCAATATCCTTCTGCTTCACTCACTTGCAATATTCTGTTCAGTTCTGAGTACTACATTCTAAGCAGTCCAGAGGAGAATAATGGTGGTGATGGGAAGTCGGGAAGATTTGAACTAGGAGAAGGACTGAACTGACAGCTATGATATGAAATGGAAAATTCTGAGAGTTGAGATGGTGCCTGTTTTCAAACAGGTATATGCCTGCTGAAGAAATAATCTAATCTCTAGATCTGTTTCAGATAAGATAGGAATGATTTACAGTACAGAAAAGAAGATTTAGTAAAGATTAGGAAAATCTGCTATTATATGAATCTCTAGATTGCCTGGACAGGTTATGAAGTTAACATTATTGACAGTCTTTAGTACTGGGTGACACACATGTCTGTGAAAAAAGGACAAAATTATTTAAGACACTTGGTGGAGGACCATTTCAGCCCTCTGAGTGAAAGATTTGCTTTTGATATGAAGAGAAAAAAAAATCGAACCAACTGTAATTATGCACAACTTGTAAAAAAATTCTTACTTAGTGAACTCCATCTAAATCTATGATGTAGGCCAGATCTTCTAATGTAATTTCTTTCCTCTGTAAATGAAAGCTCAATCCAGACTCAGCTCCCTGATTGGGATATTCCTAGATTAGGAAGACTCAGAAGAGTACTGAACTGTATTGTGTAGCTGAAATATTACTAAGTCATAACATTTTCACAACATGACTAACCAAATTACAGATATTTTTATCTTTTCACTGTGGTCAAGCATTGGAACAGGCTGCCCAGGGAGGTTGTGGAGTCAAGAAACAACTGGACATGGCACTTAGTGCTATGGTCTAGTCGATGTGGTGGTGTTCAATCAAAGGTTAGACTCACCTTTTGCAACCACAACGATTCTTTGATTCTGTGATTCTCCCAGTAAGACCACCAGACTTTGCACTGAAGTCTATCTGTTTTTGGCACGTGTTTTGTTGAACTTGGTCTGTTGGGGGCACAGCAGCCTCTGACAGAAGTGTAGTGCTAAACAAGTGGGAATTTAGATGTAACAAAGGCTTGAAAACCTAGAGTAAAAAAAACCCCACAAAATTAAAAATAGGTGCATGGAAAGTAGCCTGCAGGAAATAAAGCCCTCAGCACATTATGGTTACTAGTTTCAAACTTATCTAAATAAAAGCAGCCTGAAAGGTGCTGTCTTGATCTGCTGAGTTGAAGAGCAAGCTTTCGATCTCTGCTGGGTCTCTCTGAACACTTCAGAAGGAAAAAACAAACCCCTAATATGATTATTCTTCTTAAATGCCTGCCTACAGATAAATATAAGTGGGAGTGTTTCCTTTGGCAGTGATAAGGTCCTTCTACTCCCCAGCACATCTTAAATAACCAGAGGAGACCTGTTTAACTCCATGTGGCACATTTCCACTACGGACTGAGACCCCAAGTCTCCACGAGTGATTCTGTGATGCTGCTCAATGGCCCCTCCTATTTTCTAAACTACATTAAACCCCAGATTCCTGAGCAGCCTTATGTCAGTAGCGGATTACTTTATTTTACCCACTCGGTTTCTGTAGGGCAGCCGGAATAATTTAACATACGTGTGTTCTTACGTTTTAATACACTTTTTCGGAGGTGGAAAACAGAGGCGAGGAGCGCTCTCCGGCTTCCCTTCCCACGCACGGAGGCTCCGTGTGGCTGCTCTGCCCTCTGCCGGGGCTCCTCGGGCGGGAAGGGCGCGGCGCAGGAGAAACCTTCGATCTGAGGATCGAAAAATCCTCCCGCACTGTCTCGCCCGGTGCTCGGGCATCCCCCGCCCGCGGGGATGCGGTGCCCGCTCGGCTCCCGGCGGCTCCGGAGCCGATCTCCTCAGGGACACGCCCGGGGTGCCCGCCGGGCTGCCAGCCGCGCCTCGCACCGGCTTTGGTCGTCGTTTGATGCAGGAATTGCTGCATCACAGAATGCCTGGGGCGGGAGGGACCTCCGGGGATCCCCCAGTCCAACCCCCGCGCCAGGGCAGGGTCACCCGGAGCAGGTGACACAGGAACGGGCTTGGAATGTCTCCAGACGGCACGCCCTCCCTGGGCAGCCTGTGCCAAGACTCTGCCCCCCCTCAGGAAGGTCTCCCTCACGCCGAGGTGGAACTTGTGCTGTAGTTTACGGCCACCGCCCCGCACCCAAAGGTTTGAGAGGCTCCTCCTGCCACAAAACCGCGTTCCTCCACACACAGAGGGAGAGGCGCCTGAGCCCCCCGCACGCATGCGCGGTGGCAGCAGGACTACACTTCCCGGCATGCCCCGGCGGGGCGGAGCCGCGCGCGTGGCAGGGCGCGGCGGGCGGGCGGGGAGAGGAGCGGAGCGGGACAGGACCGGGACGGGCACGGCCATGGATGCGGGCGAGGGGAAGCCGCAGCCCCACCTGGCCGCGCTGGTGCTGGCGCGGGGCGGCAGCAAGGGCATCCCGCTGAAGAACATCAAGCTGCTGGCGGGGGTGCCGCTCATCGGCTGGGTGCTGCGCGCCGCCATCGACGCCGGCGTCTTCCAGAGGTGCGCATGCGCGGTTCCCCCTCGGCCCGCCTCCCCTCCTCCTGCCGGAGCGGGAATGGGATCGGGATCGGGATGGGGATGGGGGTACCGAGGGGTCCCGGCCCGGAGAGGGGTGCCGAGGCACCCCGGCCTGGGGAGGGGCTGGGTGAAGCTGCCCCTTCGTCCAGGGGGTCTTAGCGAAGTCTGTCAGCATCGAACGGGGGGTGTCAGAGGCGTGACCGGGCTCTGCTCGGTGGTGCCAAGGAATAGGACAAGAGGCAACGGGCAGAAACCGAGGTATGGGAAGTGCCACCTGAATATAAGGGATATAAATATCTTTACTGTGCACTGGGACAGGCTGCCCAGAGAGGTTGTGGTGTCTGCCCCACTGGGGATAGTCCAGAATCACCGGGATGGAATCCTGTGCAACCAGTTCCAGGTGACCCTCCTAGAGCAGGGAGGTGGGACCAGATGACCTCCACGGTCCGTTCCAGCCTTGCCCATCCTGTGACGCTGTGAGTGAGGCAGGTGTGTCGTAGGAGATCCCCCCTGAAGACAAGAGGGTGCAGGTCAAGGATCAGGCAAGGCAGGCAGGCAGCACCCTGCCACAAACTCCGCTGTCCCTTCCTGGTGAGGGTGAGCAGGGCAGGAATGAAGGAGTTGAAGTCTTACAGTAATTTGAAATTGAAGTTGTTCTGGCCCAGGAGAGAGTTGTAACCACACTTGTAACTGACTTGGTCGGGGAGCCTGGCTGACGACTTTTGTCAGTAAACATTGACGTTTTTATTAAGACATTTGCATTAAATGGAACTGGCAGGCTGTAGGTAATCTCCTGTGAATGGTTTAAGCATGGGGTGACATTGGTTGGTGGTCATCTGGTGCTCCCTACTGTGCAGAGCTGTGCTGGTGAGGGTTGCTCGGGAACAAATGAAGCTGAGTTTGGGATCTCCATGGATGGAGATGCCACAGCCCTTCTGGGCACTGGTTCCAGTAGTTGATAGCCCTGTTACTGTGCTCATCCAGGAAAAGCTGCTTTGTTTTCTCTCCACCTGCCCAGCTGGTACTTGAAGACAGCAGTGAAGTCTCCTCCTTGCCTTCTCTTCATAAGACCAACCCAGATATCTCTTTCAGCATCTCATGACATGCATGTGCTCCCAGGCCCCAGCCATCAGGCTGCTCTGCTGGGCTTGCTCTCCTTTTTTCTTTGTGTTACTGGGGAGCCCACAGCAGGACAGAGCACACTGGTGGCAATCCTGCAAACATCCAGTGGAAAGAGATAATCGTGTATGCCCATGTTACAGAACAGGAGCTCAGTTTGTGACTAAGTGCCCAAAGCTTTGGTAGCACTAATTAGAGCTGGACAGCAACAAGTCTGTTGTTAGTGTTAAGAACATGGGCATCACAGATTTTTCTGCCACAACAAAACTGAGAATTTTCTACACGTAAACTGATAAACAGTTAAACCCAGTGCGTGCTTAGGATGTACTTGGTATGTAGCACATCTGGGGGCAGGTTCCCAATGCAAACCTGCTGCACTGTGTTCAGAGCAAGAACTCAGTGTAGACAAGTACAAATGTAGCCCAGCTATAGCTAGATCCAGAGCTGGAAGTGAGCATGAGCCCTCTATATCTCGTTGCTGCTGTACCATTATCTATTCTGGAAAATCCTCCTTACTGTGGCTGAAAAGTAGAGGAGGCATGGCTCAGTTTTGTTTTCAATAAAGAAACAGTCAAGAACGTTTTCAGCCTAGGTTACTTAATGTATTTGAATCCATTCTGCTAAATGACCTCTGGTGGCTTCTATTTGGCATCTGAATTTGCCCAACAGGAAGCCAGTTGGGGTTGTGCAGCCTAACTTTGAGGCATAACAGGTGCAGTGGGTGGGTATGCTCCAGATTAATCTAGTCACCTTTGAAATACCTCTGCTGACAGGGTACTTGTTACACAACAAAACTCTTGTTAGTTGAGGGGGAGTGTATATTTAAGTTAACCATCCCAAAGCAGTTTATGGAAAATACCTCTTCTGTATTTGTTCACGTGGGTGTGACTTGACCTTACTGTCACTGTCATACATTATTTTTATTCTGATGATCTCGTGATGCCTTTGGGTGAAAAAATGTAACTAAAGCACCATTTGCTATGGACAGTGAATGCTGAGAGAGGGAAGGTGCTTTTTCATAGCTTTTGTCTTTATCTCACTTTTTTTTTTTCCACAACGATGACAGAAATGGCCTCACAGTTGCTCAGTGTTTGTCATCACATGATATTCAGACTTAGCCCTTCCTTTTGTAAATGTTTATTTTCCCCAAACGATCACAATCTTGCTTTACCAGTACTGAAAGTTTTCTGTGCCAAAACATATATAACTTGAACAACTCTTTCTCTGGGATTACATGGAGCCTACTTAACACGTTTTAAACCACTTGCAGAATAAGCTAATCTTCTAATTTTGGGGCAGTTTTACTTGCTGTCAGTCGTGTTTCTGAACTCTTACATGACTTTGACTGCCTCATTCAACCCATTCACAATCCACTCATCAGTTAATGTGGCTAACATGTTTTGTGTGCTGACACTGGATTTTTTTTTTGATAACACTTCTGAATTTTATGTTGCTTAAGCTTCCTGCATGGAATGCAACTCAAGCTTCAGATTTTACAGTCTGTGAATGTGTGTGTTTTAACCCCATTTTTTAAAAGTTGCTCGTTGGGCTGACCAGGATAGCTTTACTAATGCAAGTACAAGAACTAGGTCCTTTCATTGCACGTTGTAGTGCAAACATAAGCCAGGGTGTTGTTCTGTTTAGATTATGGCAGGTAAGTAAAAAATGCTGGGCTTTATTCTTTATATTAATTTCTGTCACTGTCTGCCAACAGTATATGGGTTTCTACAGACCATGATGAAATCGAGAAGGTTGCAAAGCAGTTTGGTGCTCAGGTTCATCGCAGAAGCCCTGAAGTTTCTCAAGACTCCTCAACGTCCCTAGAAGCCATCAGAGAGTTTCTTAATCATCATCATGGTAAATCCGTAATGAAATATGCTGAGCTTTTATGTTGTAACCCCAGAGAGATGATGCATTTATCATTTAGAAAAATAACTGAAACCTTTATTAAATGAAAGCTAAAAATATTATCTTTTTTTTTTTTTTTGTGGCACCTACTCACACCACACTTCACACTTGTGTTATTGAAAGTATGAATTGTTTCATGAACGTTTCTTTATTTTTCTTTAGAGGTTGATATTGTAGGAAATATTCAAGCAACATCTCCCTGTTTACATCCCAGTGATCTTATAAAAGTGGCAGATCTGATCCAGAAGGAGGGGTTTGATTCTGTCTTCTCTGTTGTGAGGCGGCACCAATTTAGATGGAGCGAGGTAAAAAAAGGAGGTAATACTTAGGTGTTTCTGGTTACAGTTATACTTAATTTTTTTTTTCCAAATGCTTTGTTTTCATATCCGTGTTGTTTTAGGAAGTGATATCAGAGGCATGGACTGAGTTCTCTGAGAGGTGTGAGATGGCTTAGAAGTTCCTTCTAAGTACTGCTGTCTTGATAGTAATGAGCACTGCTCAGCCTTTCTGTAATTGTTTTGTAGAAGTGATCAAGTATTGAAAATTAAGATTATATTACCTTGTCTAGGCTGAAAGCAGAGCTCCCAAAAAATGTATATGTTACCTTCTGCTCGGTGGGTATTCGTGTTTATGGAGATAAGACACTGAGGTCCTGTCTTAACCAGAAAATTGTTTGTTCTTGCTATGCAGTAGCTAACAAGTGACAAGTAATGTGGGGTAAGGTCTTGTTGAAGAGGGGATGGCAACCTCTTGGCCTGGAGGCTTAGGCTTTGTTTCATCCTGCTAATGTGGCTGCTGACTTATGTCACGTTGCAAACTGCCTTTGAGTCACGGGGAATGAACTCATGTTAATTAGCTCATCCAGAAGACTGTGACTGTTTTTTCCCAGAGAAAATATGCCTCTTGGCTACAGTTGCCAAGATGACTAAAGACTGAAATCCTACAAATAATGATTGTACCTTGTTTTAGCTATAAAGTACCTTTTGTCCTTGTACAAAGAACTGTTCCATGCATTATCTGTGTTGGTTTTGTTTCTGTGATTAAGGCAGAAATGTTTTCATCGTTTTCTTAAAAGCTTTTTATTTCAGATACTGTCACATTGTTTTCTTTTTCAAAAGCGAATGTTGCTCTGATATTTTGAGTTTTTCTGAGATATAAATCGTTTAAGATGGAGATTTTTTTTAAATGAGTTTAGAAAGTGTCATGCTGTAAAAGAGCACGTGAAATAAATGAAGCTTGGTATTAGAGAGAAGTTGGAATAAAAGTTAAGCCTTTGTTTAGACTACAGACTTGAACATTCTCATTGTTCCTCATAAGAGGAGAAGTAAGTGACACTGTTGGTAAAGTATTAGAGGAATATCAGAAGCATGGATTGCAATTTCTGGATTCTGTGGATTGCACTTTAGGAAGTCACATACAGCTCCACATCTTGAAATGCTAGAATGGACATCTGTGAAAGAATAAATCTCATTTGGATGTGTCAAGTGGCTTTCTGAAGCAGTTGTGTGCCACCTTGTCCCTGTAGGTAGATTGTTAAAATAAAAAAGCCTCAAGGCCTACTCAAAAGAGCAAGTAATTCTTTAGTACTAAGTGACATCCAAAGTCTTTTAATATGGCGAGAGACAAAGAATCAGTCAGCTGTAAGGATTGTATTTGAGGAGAACAAGGAACACATTGTGCAAACATTAGCAGCTTAAGGGTAACTGCAAATGGCCTTTCAGGAGTGTGGTGTTTCAGGTGACTCATAGGAGCATTATACAGTGTTTTAAAAAAATTTTTATTTCCCCATACAGCTTTAGGATACTGATTATGTTAAAATAATTTTATTGGGTTTTTTTCTGTGTAGTTCTGTTGTTCCTTCTGCATGAAGGTTTAATTTTGATACACCCTGAAAGAGAAAGATGTCTCTCTCTGACTGGAAATATTTACTTCATTGAGCACAAAGCTCTAGTTTATTTATGAAACACAAGGTGTGTTTATATAGATTAAAGCCTCAGGATGTTTTGTGTGTTTCAGAATGCCCTATAACCTTTTCATTGTCGCTGGGTTGTGAGACCTGGTGAATTTTAGCTGGTTTTGTGCACGTGAATTTCAATGGCTTAAGGACAGAAGTCTCTGGTCCCTGGTTCTGTTTCTTCTGCATGGACTACTGGCATTGGTAACAATGTGGGATATTTGGGGATAGTGTTTGTTCAAAGACACTTGCTTGTTTATTTGTGGACACTGAATAAATTACTTCTGAAAAAGTAAGAGAATGCATATCCATAAATAAGAAGTATTCTGGGGAAGTGTTGAGATGGCTTTCATGGGTAAATTTTTTCACATATGCTCTTTTTTATTGCATTGAAGATTTCAGGTTGGTCCTGTCAGGTCTCAAGAGTTCATACAGGGCATTCCTGTGTGCACTAGGAGACAGAGTGCAGGAATAGTATTTCTTTCACATTGGCAAGGACAGTCTAGAAGAATATCCCCCCCTACTCCTTTTAGTAAACAGTTTTGGAGCTGACAACTTTGGTTTTTTGTTGGGTTTTTTGTTTGTTTATATTTTTGTGTGTTTGTTTTTGTTTTTTGCTAAAGTTGGAATGAAAATTTTCCTTTTCTTCTGCTAGACATCCAGAGTAGTCCTCCAGTTTGTTATCCACGGTTCCAAGAAAGAGAAGCAGTTCAGTGATTCCCCAGAGAAGTTGTGGATTCCCCAACCCTGGCAGCGTTCAAGGCCAGGTTGGATGGAGTTCTGAGCAACCTGGTCTAGTGGAAGGTGTCTCTGCCCATGGCGAGGGGGTTGGAACGAGATGATCTTTAAGGCCCCTGCCAACCCAAACTACTTTGTGATTCTTTATAAAAGTTAAGCAACAAGAGGTAATAAAGAAAGACGTTGGTGACTGAATTGTGCCCTCAATTTTTCAACAGAAAACTATTTGGAAAGTTATGTGACTCTGAACAGGGGTTCTGTAAAACTTACTTTGTCTTTTTTTTTCTCTCTGCTAACAGAAAACAAGATGACAGAGCCCCAAAACCTGAATCCAGCAAAACGGTACCGGAGGCAAGACTGGCCTGGGGAGCTGTATGAAAACGGCTCATTTTATTTTGCCAAGAGACATTTGATTGAGAAAGGCTACTTGCAGGTTTGTGCTTCTGTTTCTCCTGCTCTTTAGAATTGTACATATTTTACTCTTGTTGTAGAGGGTTCTGAATTCAATACTGTATTTTGATTTCTGGTGCAGTCAATGAGAAATAACAGCACTTTGTCCTCAGAACAGTTTACCTATTATTTGTAACTTAGCAGGGCAAGCTGTAAAAAGGACAGTTCCAGTTACAGCATCCTCCACAACAAACAAATTTGTACAAATGATACTGTGCAGTATATCCCTATAACCCTAAAATAATACAGTATTGAGTTTCACATCAGTTCACCAGCATATCATGTAGTTCATTTTAGTGCTACTAAGGGTGTGAAACTGAGCTTCATGCAGTGTCATAGTCTTGTCATAATCTATCAATTTGTATTTTCAGCCAATTTATTCTTACGCCAATTTTGTACTGTAATTTTAAGTCTTTTCCCCTTTCCTCATGTTTACATCCCAATGTAGTAATGCAGAACATCATTTGGGTGTTGTGGGTATTTTTCTAATTGAAATTATTTTTTGTTTAACATCTAAACAAAGACTTATTCATAATCTTACTTAGTAAAAGCTAAAGGTATTACTGTTTTGCTGATTAAGAGATCTGGGGAAATTAATGTGATGTAATTACTATAGTGCATAACACCTTGCACACTTTCTCTAACTGTAAAATGAAAATACTTATTAACGCTTGCCTGCAGAAGGTTCCTTCAAATTTTTAGTTCTGTGTCACTGCCAAAACCATCGTTATGGATGGTTCACTTCTATATAATCTACTGTGACCACTGTGTAACCAGACACTTGGCTTTCATTACAGAGTACTGACTTGTACAGTTTTGTATTTGTGCTAAGCCAAGCAGAAAGTCTGAATGGCTTCTGTTTCACTTAGGGTGGTAAAATGGCCTACTATGAAATGCGTGCAGAGCACAGTGTGGATATCGATATAGACATTGACTGGCCTATTGCAGAGCAGAGAGTATTGAGGTAAAAAGCACTTTTTATTCCTTTATTTCTTCGATAGTGCTCGTTGTGTCAGAGTGTGGTCACGTGAATTCGTAATGTATGTAGTGTAAGAAATCAAGATCAAAGATAACTGGGCAACTATTTCTACCCATAGTTTTTTCCTACCTCTGTTGAAATTAAGTGAATTACCTTTGTTTTATGGTGGGTTGTTTGGGTGTTTTGGTTTGTTTATTTGCTTTGGTTTTTTGGGGTTTTTTTTTGGTTTTAAAGTTCAGCTTGGTGAGAAGTGTAAGCCCCACTATGGCAATGTTAGCATCACCTCTGGCTTTTCCAGCTGGGGTGTCCCAGACTTCCATGATCTGGACCACACTGATGCACATGAATGAGAGTGTTTGTGCAGAATGCAGGAGCTGATTCCATCTTTTCAGCTACCCTTTCTTTGCAGCTACTCTGCACTTCTCTAAGGAAATAATGGGTGGGACTGGAACATATTTTCTGTGCATTTTTCATCCTTTACTCCACTTTAGTTTTGCCTCCCAAAATGCTACAGTACATGAACTTCTACACTAAGGAAATAAATTTTATCCTAATTTTTAAATGGACAATGCGACTGAGCTGTCTTTTGGATTGTTCTGTTTGTTTCTTTGAAGAGGGAGAATATAGTTGGAGAGTGACAATGATTGGAAAAGACATTAGAAAAGAAGAATTTCAAAGCTGATTCTTCTGTCTGAAGATCGCAATTGTATTTCAAATATTTGGTTTTGGAGTGTGCAAAAACTCCCACCCTAAAAAGATAACTTCTTTGTCTAGCTTTGGATATTTTGGCAAAGAACCACTGAAGGAGGTGAAGCTGCTGGTTTGCAGTATTGAAGGATGCCTGACAAATGGTCGCATTTATGTGACAGAAGATCACAAGGAAATGGTCTCCTATGATTATAGAGATATTGTTGGCATTGATCTGTTAAAGAAAAGAGGAATCCAGGTAGGTGTTGTTCTGAAGTGTGAAGTTTTATGTCTCATGTAACCTGAACATTAAAAGGTTCTAAAAACTTGTATTCTTGCAGCATATAAATTGAAGTTTCTTCATGGTACTTGTGATCAAGCAGCACAGTGTATTGGGTGGGACAAATGTTGTTCTCAGATCCCTTACAGGAAAATTAGTGTTTTGAGACATCTCAATCACAGTAGCTGCAGCATCTTCCTCTGAATCATAGAATGTCTGGGTTGGAAGGGACCTTAAAGATCATCTTGTTCCAAACCCCGTGCAATGTGCAGGGACACCTTTCACTAGACCAGCTTGCTCAGAGCCCTGTCTGACCTGGCCTTGAGCAATTCCGGGGATGGGGCATCCACAGCTTCTCTGGGCAACTCATTCCAGTGCTTCAGGACCCTCACAGTAAAGAATTTCTTCCTAATATCTAATTAAATCTACTCTCTGTCAGTGTGAAGCCATTTTCCCTTGTCCTGTCACTACATGCTCTTCTAAATAGTTTCTCTCCATCTTTCTTGTAGGCTCCCTTCAGGTACTGAAAGCCTGCAATTAGGTTACCCCTAGGCCTTCTCTTCTCCAGGCTGAACAATCCCAATTCTCTCAGCATTTTTGTCATGGAAAAATTCAGGAAGAAATTTTTATGGTGCTTTGCTAGCACCAATCATATTCTGTGTAGTCTAGCCACTCATTAATTACAAGTAACTTCATCAAGCAGGGATGTGTTGTTACCTCTTGACAACAGAAGAGGAAGAAATTTCCAGGCAAATGGGTTGGTTTGTTGCAAAGGGGGGAAATCAAACCCTGAACACTTTTGCCTGCAAAATTGTTTTAATCGTAGCTTATGTGCTTTGAAGATGTGAGAGAATCCTGTGTAACTGAAAAGCTAAACCAACACAGACTGTAACATGGCTACTTTTATTATTATGATTATTAGTAGTACTACTAAATTCTGCTGATCTGAATCTTTGCTTGCATTTATGTAAAATTAGCCTCCTGGCTATTTTCTGTCTGTGCTGCTGCCTTTGATACAGCTAGAAGACTTTTGTTTTTGGGTAAGAACTAAGTTTAGATTTAGGCTGCCTTCAAAGAGCCTTAACTCAGTTCTGATGCAGTGGAAAACAAAGGTAGCTGTGCCCCAAGTAGACTTCTTCAGATACATTTTTGGAGTCTGTATTGTAGGATTTTTTATAACAGGTTATATGAGACTTTCATGACTTACTTTGCAGCTGTTGACTTGGGGCTGTGAAATGGAGTAGATGGTTTTTCAGCACTCCCTCAGCTTCATTTTCTGTGAGGCAAAAGGGGAAGGAAGCTTGTAATCACTGTTTTGTTGCCCGTGGGAGCCTCTTTCCATACTTGTTTTGACATGGAATATTTAATTAAAAACCTCCTGGTTTTTGTGCTGCACTTCATTTATTTCTAGTATATGTTGCTGATACAGTCTTGCTTTGTTCATTCTGTACTTAAAATCAAGGCCAACCATTTGTTAGTATTTAAAAGCAATTAGGGAATATAAGTTTGTCCACATTTTGGACAAGAAAACTTGGAGGAGTTGCATCTGAGATTTCTAAGAATCCCGCTGCACTAATGTTCTGGTTTCAGCTTCCCTTGTACATAATTTCTGAAATTTCAAGTTGGAAATGAACTTCCAGAGATAAATGTGTTGTGCTATTCAGTCACTTAGTGTTCTTTTGGTGCTCTGAAGTGCTACTGTGAATAATGTTATTAAGGAGAGCAGTCAAGAAAAATACTTCATAATGTTCTACTTCTACAAATATTACAGAAATCCTCCTTGGGAGTTCTCTTGTTCCATACTTAATTAGATAATACTGCACTAGATAGTCAACATGCCACTATACTGTGATATCCAGTATTTTATTTGGTACATGTTGCATTTAAAAAGGAAAATGTAAATTTCTTTTTTTAATATCAGGGAGGGCTACAGAATGGTGTTTTACTTTCCGAGAGCAACTTCAAGACTGTGATGTGGGTTTGGGTGCTAATCACGTGTGCTCTGAGTTCTGATTGAAGAAACTGGTTATTCAATGCTTTTCTGATTCCTGAGAGAGGTTCTATGAGCAAAACTACTTTTTTCTTATAGGGAATCAATTTACATCTTATTTCTTCGTATGTAGAATTTATTCTAAGTTGATTTTATTTTCATAGGTTCGACTCATCTCTGAAAGAGATTGTTCAAAAACACTGTCAGCCATGCAGCTGGGATGTGTAGCAAAGGTCAGTGCAACAAATAAATTACAGGTTCTGAAGGACTGGCAAGAAGACATGGGTTTGAGCTGGAAAGAAGTTGCTTACTTAGGTGAGTTCCTCTTTTGTTGGTAGTAAAACTTCATATAATATAGGCAAACACAAACTTCATAGTCCTGCTGAGCTTCGAAACACTTTTCTTTTTGTCGGTATACTGAACTTAATGGGATTGATGTGCAAATTGCAGCACACAATCACCAAAAGCAGGTATGTATTTTAAGGTTTGTGCCATCTAAATGTTAGAGGCATTGATGAATCAGTGTGTAATTTCGTAAGGGAAGTCTTAGCTGTTTTTCTAATGGGATTTATGAAAGCTTTGGATATCACAGAAGCATACAGTTACAGCTGACAATTTTGAACTGATTCTAGTACATTTCAGGTGAATATTGTATAGATTATGTTCTGAAATGGAAACCAGAAATGGGCAGATTAAAATGAAAGCCGGTATGACTCTGTGCTAAATTGTATTTCAGAGACAGATTAAGTTTAGAGTTCTGCAAATGCTTATTCAGTTGCTTACATAATTTTACTACTCTTAAAAGTACTGTTCCCTTGCCTGAAGATTTTGAAGTGTGATCAGCATCTACATGGATCACAAAGATCTTCTGACAACTGACTTACACATGCAACGTGCTGTTGAGCTGCTGAGATGAACGTTTTGGCAAAAATACAAATTAAAAAAAAAACCAAACAGATTAATGCGTGCACAGAAAAATACTGAGTTTGCTCAGCCTTTCCCCTCTGTGATGTTTTGCCTTGTCTGTCATCTTCCCTAATAGGAAATGAAGAGTCTGATGTGGAATGCCTGAAGCAAGCAGGCATGAGTGGTGTGCCTGCTGATGCTTGTGCAGCTGCTCAGAAGGCTGCTGGTTACATTTGCAAGAGCAGTGGCGGCTGCGGAGCCGTGCGGGAGTTCGCAGAACACATATTCCTGTTGTTAGAAAAAGTGAACTCTGCGAGGAAGCAAATGGGAGAAATGAGTTCAGCAGAAAAGGAAATGGGGGGAAATGAGAACAGCAGGAGAGGAAATAAGGAACTAATGAAAAAGGAGTAACGCCGTTGGTCATTCCTGCTTTTCTTCGTCTCCTCTTCCTCCTTCAGTAAATGCCAAAGGAGTGCTCTCAAGTTTTACATCAAAGTAGTGTTTAAAAAATGTCTCCCTCTAATTTAAGGTCCCACTTTAAGTGCTGATATTCATAATTGTATGCTGATCATAGTAATGAATTTTTTAAAAGCCATTTATAAGCAATAGAAGGAATGTTGTAAAAGGTAGCAAATCTACTGTAAATCTCCTCCTAATCATCACACCTCTCCTCCAGGAGTGATGTTTCTTTATATCATAATCAGAATGTTCTCGGGGATCAATGATTTTGCATGACTTGAGGGTTTGTAATTCAAATTTTAAAGAAAAAAATTCTGTCAGTTTTGCTCATGTGGTTTATGCGTCTTCTACCAAAAGTCAGCATGGTGTTGTGGTTGTGTGATTGCATTTTACAGAATTTGTCCCTAGTAGGGAAGAGTTTTAACATACGCTGGAGAGGTCAGGTGTAAAGTACTATCAGACTTCTTCCTGTATTTTTAAAACACAGCTCTGTTCCTGGAAAACCAGTTAATATTACTTAAGAAAAGCACTTAAGCATGTGTTCAGTTTTAAGCTCATAAATAATTAAATCACATTTGGAATTGTGCCTCTTATCTTTGAGTCTGTTTACATTGGGTTTTATTGAAGTGCTTAAATTAACATACCCAAATGTTTTGCTAAATTTGGAGTAAAGTTCCCCCTGACTTTGAGTTCTTTGCAAAAACTCCGTTGCTTTCTATGAAGACTTTATGGCTACCACTAATGATCTAAAGCCAAGCAAAACTCTTTAAGTTTATTGTATGGAAAAGTATCTGCTGTTTAAAAAAAACCCAAAACATAACTGATTGTGGGTTTATATAAAATATATGTACAGCATGCTAAAGCTGTTTTATGTGTATTTATGAAAAATAGGGTTTGTATTGTACCATGCAAATACAATAGTAGTCATCAGGGAGTCAAGTTCTGTCTTGGGCTCTGCTAAAAAATAAAAAATACCCATACTGCACAGGCAGTTACTACTGAGGTGAGTGATAATGGCTTGTCATCTTATTTTGCTTCCCTGCTAAATAGAAACTCCCAATATAATATCACTCAATATATTGGCCTCTGATTAACTTGGTGTTTACTTCCTTTCACAAAGCCAAAATAAGGCAGTAATAAATCTCAGTCCAATCTACAGTTAACAGGCTTATCAGGGTTAACAGATGAATTGTTTACTGCACTAACCAGCTCTAAGTTATCACTGAAGTATTTCCTTTCTGTCAGGTTTTAGGGCTCTGGATACATCCGATGGACTTTGATAACAGGAGAGTCACATTTTGGATAGAACTGTGGGCTTTGGTATGGGTACATGAATTATTTTAGTTGTACAGACTATGTTGTAAAGCTTCAAAAGTCCAGATTGGATAAACTATTCAGGTTTGATTATATCACACAGAAATTGGCCAAGTTTTTGGTTACTTCACCTTGTCATCGTTAACTTGATGACTTTGATTACAGGAGCAATTCCCTGTGAATAGATGGCTTTAGATAACGTGACTGTGAAGAACTTGATCCCCATGTCATTTATGTTAGAGAAAGCATAAAGCATGAGTAAGTGCAATTATATTAGCAATATGAGTTGGCAGTACTGTTTGTAGCTTACTGTTTGAGTCAAGAACTCTTCCAGTGTTTCAGCTGCTTGCTGAACGTGCTGCATGTACTTCAGGGCTGCACCCAAAAATTCTAAATGTATCAAAAATAAACACGGAAACACCTTCATATGAGTGTTGGTAACGAGCAGAAAGAAATGGTAGCTGATATATAAATATTTTCACTCTGATAAATTCTTGTTTAGAAGAACATGGTGTAATCTTATGCTGGGAAGAATATGAAAAGAGCTCTAGAGAGTATTTACAACATAAAGCCTGTTTGAGGATATGGGACATGCATGATCCTACTGCCTGAAAGGTTCAGATTACTCCTCTTGATTTTATGGAAGATCCTCAATCATATGAAGAATTTAGGGGTCACAGAGGCAGAGATGATGAGGATTACTCTGTCACCTTAAAGGTCAAATCCCAAGTCCCAGGCAGGCTTCAGTTGTGCAGTGTGTTTTGCCAATGCCTGCTGTTTCATGTCATGGCACCACGATTGCCCTTGATTAGAGGGGTGTAGTTCAATCAGTAGATTTCAGTGGTCACTTTTGTTATACTGGGCTAATTTTGAAATAATCTCTTTTAGTCCTGTGAGCACTTGTTTGTTTTTTTTTAACTTCAAAATACCTAGTATATTCCAAAGAAAATCTCAGATGATGTGGGCTGTTTTATCATGATTATGTGAAACTGAAAAAAGGAAGCTTGTGGTAATTTGTAATAAGCTATTATAAAAAAAAAAAAGCTGATTACCTGAAATTTTAAATAAACAGTTTTCTATAGTCTTTTGGGTAGAGAATGGCTGTGGGGTGGTTTGTAATGAGATCCTGTACTGTAGATAATATGCTTCCACGTTCACGTGCCACACGAATGGATTGTACTGATAAAAGTGGACAAATTTAATGCCCAAATTAATCACATGCACACACAGTTATTCAAAATTTTTATCTCATTCTGGTCTTGGAGGCAAATCTTGAGTGTTTTGAGTGTGGTTATGCCCTCTTGAATATACTTCTTCACTTGCCTGTGTTCCCTGATTTCAAGTAGCTGGTTTCACAGTGCTGTGTGTTCTGTGTCCAGGTTTGTGAAAAGGTGGGATTCATCTCTCTGTTTAATGAGCTCTCAAAGCCAGCCCAGTATTTCTATAGAAAGATGGTCTTGTAAATTTGAGCAGAACACATTGAGAATTATTTGGCAGGAGGGTCTTGAAGAGATTCTTGTTGTGGTTGGGCTTTGAGATCTTTCCTGCTTTTTGGCTGCTTGGTGGCTCTTGCCAGGAGAGTTGAGGAGAGGGAAGAATATCCAGTTATACAGTAACTATATCATTACATTTGCTAACTTTGATACAAGAGGTTAGCCCTTCACCTACTTCTGACTCCATTAATTTATTTTTATCTCACCTATCTCTTATTCAGTGTATGTTTCTCTCCAGGTCCCGTAGGGTGATGCAACCAGTTCTGACCTTGGTTCATTTCACATCAACACAAATCACATATATCTCAGCCTTTTGAAGTCAGAGATATTTTTTGGTAGTTGGTGATTTCAAGTTAATAATTTTAAACCTTGAGTACACATTAGTTAACTAGTTTTACCAGAAAACGTAAAGGTGATCTGGGAAGGTTTTTGTTTTTAATTTTTTTTTTCTGTTTGTGTGTTCTTAAATCACTGTTTCTTTTTTCCAGAAATAACTCCAAATGAGCCTAGTTACACCCAGCAGGACCAATCATCCTAAATGTCACCACTACTAAGAGCAGTAATACTGTGTGCAAGAAAAACACTGTTATGTATGAATCTGATGCAAAAATGAGTTAGAAAATCTTGTCACTAATGCACTTGTCTGAAAAAATTTTGTATAGTAGGTTTGTTTCTCTCTCTTGTTATGGGACAGATTTGTATATTCCCTTTTTTCATCCTAGATATGTTTTCTTATGTGGCTCTGGTTCAATAGAGCATTCCCACTGCTTTAGAGATACTGGAGGAAAGAGAAACTGGGAGCAGTCCCAGTTCTGGAGCTCCCACGCCTCTGTAGCACGACAGACCACTTCCCCTAAACGAGATGCCATTAATTTCATCTTGCAGATGGAAGGATTTCTCAATTATTTATAAAAATAGATGTTAAAGGGAATGAGCAGTGTGCAATGTGGAGGCAATGCTACCAAATCATTCAGGTTAAAAGATTAAAGAAGGGGGCTGAGGAAACCGAAGATTTACATATAAGGTAAGCTTAGTAAGGTAAGCTTAATAGAAACACAATCCTAATGTCTTATATATAAAGATAGCCACTTTCTATGAGCAGTTATAATGCAGAAAAATACCCAGTGGTTTGAAGTGTGTGCTAGCAGTTAAAAAAGCAGACTAAATTTTAGGAATTATTAGAGAAAGAATATATAACAAATAGGATAAAAATAATTATTCCACTTACATAATGATTTGCAGGTATCTCAAATACTGTGTGTTTTGTTTCTTATGTGTTGAAAAGGTTGTAGCACTCGGAAGGGTTGTGGGAGGATAAAATGGATGATTGGAGAAATGAATCAGGCCCAGTGGGAGCAGTAGCCAAGTCATAATTCTTCACTTGGAAGTAAGGATTGGGGAAGGTAGTTGTGTTGAGATATCTGTAAAGTTAAGGATGGGAAGCTATGGAAAGACCACTGAAGAAAGTAGTGGTGACCAAAAACAGATGCCTGAGGAATATAAATTTGCCATGTTGTATTTGGTGGGGCTTTCCAGTTTTCCTGTGGCATCAAAACGTTTGCAGCTCATGGATTTCCAAATTTGGGCGTGGCACACTTAACCTCGGCACACTTAAAACAGGCTTTGGCCATGTGTTTCATGAGTCTGACACCTGATACAGTTCCTCTGCTTCTGAACCTTGATTTCTACCCCTTATTTCCTGTATGGGTAACACTCGACTGCATTTTATTTATATTTCACGATGTGTGTTAGTGGTTCATTCTATGTCAGCGTGTAGCTTTGACACAGTGAGAAAATCAGGACATGACATTACCGTTACCAATAGGAATTAGTCATCTAATCTTAAAAACTCATTGAAAACAGGGCAAAAGTGCACAGAGAACTTTGTAAGAGTATGATGACATCAGATGAATCAATGGTCATTAATACAGTAAACTGCTTAGGAAGCGCTTTGACAAAATGTACTCAGGTTGGGAGAACATTCAGGAAAATTCCATGCTTTTGCTGGTTGTTCACATACGTTGTAGGCAAGTTGCTGGGCTAAACTGACATACATCTGAGCTAGCATGGTTAATCTTGTATTAAACGTGGAGATGGTCTCTCCAGGAATGTAACTTTTAACTAAGGCTATAGTTGCACATTGCACATTATATTATTGCTTGTGCAGTCCGTGTAAGATTTTGACTATCTTTTCTCTCCCACCTTTTTTCCCTGGTTACACTTTGTCCACAGCAGCTCAGTCTCAAGTTGGAAGGGGGTGCATCACTGATCCTTTTGAGCAGCGAGGCCCAACTGAAGTGTTTCAATTGATTAAGTGAAGCTGGGTCTAAAAGGCTGGAGAATGGGATGAAGTAATGTGATTCGGACAAATATAAACCACTCCCATTCATTTGACTTAATGACCTTAAAGATATCTTCCAAATACTTATCATGATCTACCTTTGGATTCCTTCTGTTCTCTCAGAGTGCTGCCTCTTAAAGGACTTGGAGCTACACGTGCCCCCCATGTGGAGTACGGACGAGTTTTATGGGCAGTAGTTCTGATAACTCACGAACAAGCCCCTGGTCCTGACTTGGCACATCAGTATATCAACACCCTGGTGTCTGTGTGAACTTTGTTTAAAGGAAGTACACATCTGATTGGCTGTGGGAGCCGGGAGATTTTAGGGTAAAGTTTCAGGTGCTGCGTGGCCATGTGGAGAACTAACTGAATCTGTGCCTTGCAGTGCCTCTGTACTGCTGCCCCTGCTGAGAAGCAGGGGAATTTGAGTCTGGGCTGCTCCAATTAAGCTGCTGTCATTGGTGTCAGAGCTTGGATAGCGCAGAGATATATGACCTAGCTCTATATTGCATTTCATTTACCTGACAATGAAGTCCTGGTGTACCTTTTTTTTTTTTTTTTTTAATTTTAATTAAGGTAAATCCTTAATTCAGACAGTAGGCAATGCTGTAAACTGATTATTTCCTCATCCTTCTGAAGTAGCTAGGCAACTAACTGCAATTTGAACAGGACAGTGATGCCTTCCTGCCTGATGGATAGGTCTAAATGGTTTACCAAGGTCAGAAATTACAGAGAACAGCAAACCACAGTTATCCTTTGTTTCAGTGAAAGCCTTTGCAGGCAGAAAAGGAAATTCTGCTTTTATTACTCCTGTCAGTATTTGCTTACCTATGAATGCCATCATCTGTACCATCATCCTGTCTCTACTGTGGCTGCTGGTAGATTCTCAGGGCAATCATTCCTGGGTACATTTGGTGAGACCCCACTGGCAGTGCTGCATCCAGCTCTGGGGTCCCCAGCACAGGAAGGACAGTGACCTGTTGGAGTGAGTCCAGAGGAGATCACCAAGTTGATTAGAAGAACGAAGCACCTCTCCTGTGAGGAAAGGCTAAGAGAATTGGGATTGTTCAGCCTGGAGAAGAGAAGGCTTCGGGGTGAGCCAGTTATGGCCTTCCAGTACCTGACGGGTGCCTACAAGATAGATGGAGAGGGACTACTTACAATGGCCTGGAGTGACAGGACTAGGGCGAATGGCTTAAAACTGACAGAGAGTAGGTTTAGATTTAGATTGGATATTAGGAAGAAATTCTTTACTCTGTGTGGTAAGGCACTGGAACAAGGTTCCCAGAGAAGCTGTGTTTAAGTTCAGGTTGGATGGGGCTCTGAGCAATCTGGTCCAGTGAAAGGTGTCCCTTCCCATGGCAGGGGGGTTGGAACTAGGTAAACTTTAAGGTCCCTTCCAACCCAGGCCAGTCTATGATTTGATGATCCTATGATCCTTGCAGACACTGATGTTCAGAGCTGAAGGACTTCATAAGCAGGCTGTGCATGAGGTACCCAGGGACAGATCTGCCCTCCTCAAACCTGTGGCTGATTCCCTTCAGAGTCTGCTTCTGCTTTTGAGCCCTGCAGCATCCTGTGAAACTGTGCAGGGCTTTGCAGTTAGAGCACTGCAGTCAATAGATGTCAGTGAAGAACAAACATTCCTGTTCCTCTCTGAGGCAGTGCTGCTTCCCTTTCTACTGGCACAAAGCCTGGATGGCTGCAGAGCCCACCCAAGAGTGGACGTGTCCGTGGTCCCGCGGGGTTGCAGGCGTTTCCAAGACGGCTGTTTCTTCCACCTATCATTGGCCTGCAGGACCAGGTTGGAAAGAGGCCCAAGGGAGGCACAACAGTGTAATTGGTGACTTCATGCCTTTTTGTTTCTGTTTTATCGCTCAAGCAGCTGTTGGGTGGGTGCTCCCACTCACTTCCTTCTGGGGCCGTGAGGTGCTGTTGCTCCTCCCTGCTTGGCCCAGGAGAAAGCTTCTTCTGTGTAATGCCAGGAAGAGCAATGTCTCACCACACACCCCCTCAGCGTGTCCCAACAATTTATCTTCTCTGGTAGGCAGGACAGGTAAATGGATTTACCTGTAACAGGGGAGGACTGTCTCCTATCAAAGTTAATAGAGCAGTTGCTGCTGCACAATTTTTTGGTTTCCGGTGCCTTGAAAAAAGGAGGATTGTTGTCATCTCTGCGGCTGGAACTGGTGAAAGAGTGATACAACCACTCAGTCCTCTTCCCCCCTTTCTGAAAGTGGTCTTTCAGTGATTGCCTTCACTGACACACTCAGCCCTTTCCATTAGGCATGATTCCTGCTGTCCCATCTGCACTGACTGTGCAGCAGGAATGCCCTTGGCTCTTTGTCTGTCTTTCTCTCTCATCAGCTGGGCATGAACCAAACCCCACAGAAATTCCTTCTTATCCTCCACCTTTACCTTTCTGTCTGACAGCTGGTTACAAGCAAACCATTATTTTGATCTTTTGAGCATCTCAACTCAGACCAAATGCAGAAACCTACCAGTTGATCTCCTGACCTAAGTCTTCTGTTTTCCCATGACTTCTGGCTTCAAAGATTAACAGAACTAGCTCAGATTCCTTACCCTGTCTGCTCTCCCCACTTCCCCAGCATAATTTTCATCTTCTACGAGGTGTTTCTGAAGCTATCTGGTGAGACTTTCCCTCAGTCATTGTTTTCCTCCAATAAACTGCTTTAGGCATCACTCATCAGAACTAACATGACTTAAATTCAGGTTGCTGGGATGTTTACCTGAGCACCTTTTCTTCTCTGAGGGCTACTTTAGAAGATAACTGTGCCATGCTTTCAGGGAAGAGGTTCATAAAGCAAGGCTTGGAATTCATGTGTTCCTCTCACAAGAGTTCTGGCCCTCCAAATGCTCTGCTTTCTTTTTATCTGGCCCAAAGGTCAGACAAGTCTGGGTAGCAAGCAAAGGAGGTTAACTTCAACAAGAGCAACTGGAAACCCCATGTCTCAGCTCTGATGGACTAAGTGTTTAATCCTGCCCTTTCTACTTAAATCAATCTTGAGCTGTGACTCAGGAAGGGAAAATATGTTACCAGAGTAGGAAAGCAGAATTGTAAGCATTTCTGTGCAATAGAGATTGCACAGGGCTTTATTTCTTCCAAACCTAGTATTGCTGTGCTCTAGGTACATTTTGTACCAGTCTTTTTGTATTTTGTAGGGCTGAAATGTCACTCTCTGCAAACATTTTAACTGCCATATGAGAAGAGAAAGAAAAATGGAGAGGGGAGGAGACATTTTTGCAACATCTTACTACGGAGGTTTTGAAAGTTCTTTGCCAGCCCCACAACCTGCCATAATGATTTGTGGAACTAGACTGACGATTCTTTGAAAAATTCCGTTTGAATTCCTCTACTACTGTCATGGAAAGGAGAGGGGCAGTAGTGGCACAGTGGGGAGAGAAAAGAGGATGAAAGAAATGGTAGGCGTAGCAACTGCTGGGAACCCCTGGTTACCAATAACATCATGTACCTCCACCCTTTAGGAGCAGTGCCCAGCCTGGGTTTCTGGACCTCTGACATAGCTCTCTGCAGCTGCACCAGGCTGTGCCTGTGCAGGATGGACCTGCTACCCTGTAGTTTTCCTGGCAGAAGCTTTTAATCGCTACCAACCAGTTGCTGCCCTCTACCTCAGGTAGAATGCTGTATTGAGGTGTGCCTGTGTTGAGCAAAGCTTGAGTAAAACTGCATTTTAGGTGTGCCTGTATTGAGCAAAACTTGAGTAAATCTGCATTTTCAGACCAAAAGTGCTGTATTTGTGTGAAGTGTTACTGAGCAGAGCTTTATTTTGGAAGTCATTTAAGTCTGCAGTGCAGTCCTAGAGGTCAGCTGGCAAAACCCTTGCTACGTTATAGCCTAATACGATCCCTTCAGCCAGTTTTCAGGAGTGTATGCTTTAACCCCCTATGGATCCACGAGGCATGCCCTCATCCTGTCCCTTCAGACACAGTTTCATATTGTGAATATACGTGTAAATGCTGCTTACACCTCAGTCTTAATGCAGTTAAGCTCGTTTGCGAACTTAATTTGCCCAAGGACCCTTTGGCTTTTTTACATACTCAGAGGGCCAGAAAAAAGTAAGTCTTTCAGTAAAATGTTCAAGCATCTTCATTAGCTGATTTCTTGCCATTTATTAATTGTGGAATAAGAGCACTGAAAGGAGGGCAGCAGTGGTCCATGGCGTTTTGGAGGGCGAGAGAATGATTTTAATGTCAGAGGAGCAAAGTAGCATATCTAAATTCTGATTTCCAAGTGGGTCATTTGCAAAAAGCAGTACTAAGGGCAGCACCTCCCTTAAGTTGTGTTGAATTGCAGATGGCAAGGGACTGTGGTCAAACAGGCTTTTCTCTTGATCTCTCCAACACTTCAGTACCAGTTATGCAGATGCAAAATCAGTAGGTGTTGATGCACAGGCCAGGTATGAAATGAAAGGGCCTTGTGGCAAGTGTGAGGTGTGTGGCTGGGGAGAGATGAGTATTTCACTAAATAAGGCAATACCTCAGCTTTTCAGCCTCGTAACTGCATGGTTGGGCAAAACTAGTCTGGGGAGAAGAGTCCTTAAGGTGAGGACACAAAAAACACATTGTGGAATAAATCAGAAGAAAAATCTTCACTGATTTCTTAGGACAGTCCCTTGGATGTGAACACAGACAGCTGATTATTGGAAAATCTACCTTATCAGGGCAGGGTAAATAAATAAGTCGTGTTCGGATTAAGCTGTCTCTGTCATGTTTTGTTTACCATGGTGGAGCTGTTGAGTTCTATTGCACAAGGACTGTGAAGTAAAGTGGTTCTCATCAAAACACTGGAAACAGACATTTTGCAGAAAGAAAGTCGAATGGAAAAAACCCCACTTTTATAATTGCCCAACATATGCTGCAGAAATTTATTTGGATTTATAGCAGTTGCATTTAAACCACAAACACTCTACAGTATCTAACTCAGAAATAAGTTACACCAAAGAACTACATATAGTAAAAAAAAGAAACATTTTTGTAAACAGACTTCACTCCAGATTGTCAAATACACAGCTGCAGTTTTCAACTTCAGTGTCAATAACAGTGTCCAGTAAGATAGGCAGTTCATAAATCATGGTGTATTACAGGAGTGAGTCTGGGGTCAAAATTTTGATAATTTTCTTATGAAGTTTTTTTAAGCTTCTTCTATCTTGTTTCTTACAGGTTCCTTTTTTTTTTTTTTTTTCCCTGTAACATCATGGGTAAAATTCCTAATTCAGATCTAAGAAGTCTGTTCATATCCCCTCAGAGCAAAAGAAAAAATAAATAAATGATGAAGTAAATTTTGTTGTCAAAAAATGGATATGACACCTGACTCTGTAAAACCATATACATCTGCCTGCTGAGAAATGAGTTCAGCTCTGGCATTGTGTCAGAATTTTCCTGTCCTCAAAATCTCATGTTTACAATCCTTTCTATTGGAAGCATTACAAACTAAATGGGAGTGCCCATTCAGAATTTCCCACCAGTGGCTCTATGTACGTTTGTTGTTAACTGCACATTGTCCTTCACGTGGAGTCAAACTTCATAGGTTAAACATTTTGCCATCTTGCTGAGTTTCATTTTCTCGTTAAATATCTCCTCAAACCTCCTGTTCTGCTTTGGAGTGAAATGGTTCTTCCAGTCACCGACAGCACCTAGGAGAGCAGGAACAGAAAGAACAGTGAAGCTAGCAATAATTGAAGCAAAAAATTCCTTAAAGGCAGCCCAATTTTGTTAATGTTGCAGTTGGCACAGATTATTAGTGTATTCTTAACCACAGTCTCTGTGGTAGGTTATGATTGTGAGTTGTCTTATTGATCTGACGAGACTCTGGTGGAAGCAGCTGGATTGTCATCCATAAAGGCTGTTAAACCCTCAGCCTCAGAGCTGGTTAGTGCCATCTAAAGTGGGGGATGAAGAGCAGAAGGTTTCCAAGGTGAAATTAGAGCTCCTGATCATCTCAGCAGGGAGACATCTTGCCATGCCTTAGTTATGTAGTTAAAGGTCTCTACCTGGGTTTTTTTCACAGTCAGTAGAGGAAATCATAGAATCATGGAATGGTTTGGGTTGGAAGGGACCTATTCCAGTGCCTCGCTACCACTCACTACCTCTCACTACTGTAAAGAATTTCTTCCCTACTGTCTTTCAGTTTAAAGCCATCCCCCCTTGGCCTATTACTACATGCCCTTGGAAGTGAAATTGTTGGGATTTTTCAAAATTTTCAACATATCTTCATCAAAGTTCACTGTTTTAGAAAAATGTATCTGTTCTTTTTTTTTTCTTTTTTTACTGACAGATTGTATTTTGGCATTTATTTCAGCTCACTGGTAAAAATATTCTGAATTAACGGAAGGTACCATTTCCCCGTTTATTAATTGAAACAGCTCTTGGTTTCAAAATGTCAATTCTTGCTCAAAAAATAACTAAATAAATATAATCAAAATCCATATAAACATTATCGAGCTCTGAGGAAGCTTCTCAAATGTCAGAAGCAAGAACGCAGCTCCTGCAGATATCTTAATGTCATATTTGAACTAAGCACTGTGGAAGATTTTCCTGTGAATTCCAGCTTGGTCAGGGTCTGGAGGCCACCTGTGACCATTCTTTTGTTGTTGTCAATTGTTGTTGTCAGCATATTCCTTTCTCAGGAGTATTTTCATAAGATAGAAGGTGATAAGAGCAGTCTTATTCAGAAGGAATGTGTCTAGCTCTTTATTTTTCCAGTAAACTAACTGACCTTTGCAGGTGATGTCAGAGGAGACATGTCGTAAAGGAGTAAGGTGGTCAACTTTTAGATAAAAAAAAACATAGATAAAGAGTAATGCTGAATGAACCTTTCCTTTTAGCTCAACAGCTCCCACTCCTTGGAGCAATATTAGTCAGGCTGTTGTTCCAGCTCCTCTGTGCTTCTCTAATATAAGTCTGCATGTGCAGCCAGAGAACTTAGAAAGAAAGTGATTTTTAAGGGGGCTTCAGATTGAACAATCTTGTCACTGCTTCCCAGGGCTGACCCAAAGCATCACTACACTCTGGGAAAGACCCGGTCCTCGGCCTCTGTCTGGATTCCCAGTCCTTCTGCTGTATTAAGCACAAAGGAACTTGCCTTTTCGGAAAATCAGCTTCCTGTTGGATGTCAGAGCACACACAGTGTGACTGGGATCGCTGTTCTCCTTTTCTGTGTCGTTTTTCATCTCTGAGAATGAGGATTTATTGCAGGTGTCTTGGATATCTTTGTCACTGACGTTTAAACTCAAGAACAAAGCAATTTTCTTTACAACTTTAGGGAGATCCTGAGGCACAAGAAAAATAAAGGTTTTATGTTTCTAAGCTGATTATCAGACTCTTAGCTAATTTGAAAAGGATCCTTTTTATTATGTAACAAGTTTGTCACACATTTATTTGCTTTCAAGCAAGCCAAATATATCATTGGACTGTGCAGATGACAGGTACAGTAAACCTTATTCCCCTCATACCCATACTCACAGAAATGAATAAATACTGAGTATGTCATATCAAACACAGTTATATTCCCAATTTTACTCCCAGTTCAGGTAGAATGCTCTCCTGTCTCTCAGAATTATTTCACTGGGAATAGAGAAATACTCAAAGCTCAGCTTCTGTCTAAGTAGCTTATTTCAGTGGAGGTGCTGTATCTAGAGATCTAACAAGTGACTCAGAATACAAAATAGTTGGTTTATATTCCTCACCTTGGAATTTTTTTGTTCCCAAAAAATGAACAAACCTATTTTAATAGAAACACTAGAGAGTGTTTTGTATTCACTCAAAAATTCATTCTTTGAAAGCTAAGGTATGTTGGTATTTTACTTCTTTTTTTTTTTCTTTTTAAGAACAGCAAAGCGGTGTCTGCATAATTTCCTTTCACCAAAACTGTTTTCCTACCCTTTCAGTCTTTAATGTTCTTGTTATTGGGAATACAAGTACCACCAGACTGTGAGTAATTCGGTTGTCTTGCATCACCTTTTGAAAATTTCACTGGAAATGTCAGACATTGCAAGTTAATGTGTGGCCCTCAACAGATGCCCTTGGTTGGTCTTTCCACAGGGACCAAGAAAGAGGAACTTAAAATTCTTCCTTGTAGCCTGGAGAAAATTATGTAATATGAGTCCCATTCCTGCATGTAAGAAATTTAACTCTCACAGGATTTGGTATTTATATAACTTCTGCAGTCAGACTTAGTTCACTAATATAAAATTCTATGCAAATACAAAATATGCCCAAAGACATACATTCATATTTTCCTTTTTCATTATAATTTCCTCTTTGATATTTTAATGATACTAATTTGCAAGTAATGCATTCTACCAAGTGCAGAGAGCATATTTACCTTCTTCATGTCTTCATAGAACAAAAATAGGATGTTTTTGTCATCTTCATGTGCTTCCCAACTTAGGAAATGATCAAACCAGGATCCACAGACAACTGAAAAGAAAACCCATGGAAAAGACATTCAGATAAACTTTATTCATAAATAGCTGTGGTGGTTCCTCACACATTTAGGGGAATGATCCCTTCATTACATGTACCCTGTATTGCTCTAAAACAAATGCAATTCTTTGTGCCAAGTGACTCAAACTTAACAAAAGTGGCATCCAAAGAGGTTGCCGTTCTTGTTGGAATTTGTTTTCATATCAGAGATTCAGATATTATTCTGAGATACGATTCTGTAGTAGAAACACACTCCAAATCTAAGGGAAGGCCAATAATGAAGGAAAATGTACCTGCCTAACAAGATCTGAGCATCTCAGCAAATGACTGCATGTCTGTGGTCACAGCTAGAAATGTAATCACTTCAGCAGGAAGTGAAATAAGGACTCTGTTAAACGGAACACACTGTTGTCAGCTCTCTTTTGTCTCAGCAGAAGGGAATCTGTATAATTTTTAAACACCCAAGAAGGATTATGTAAAGAACTTATGCAAATACATCATTCAGCCAATGAGACAGATAAAACAGTTTATAACTGAGTCACAGTGCTTGTTTTGTCTGAATGCTCCTTTCCCTGGACCATGGGAGGACAGCTAAATTTCATCTTTCTTTTAAAAAGCAACATTCTGACCTTTCCAGCTGAAAGGGAAGACAAAAGCCTCTTGTAGGGCAATGAGAAGAGGCCTGGACAGAGCAATCACAGCCAGTGTTCTCCCAAACTGTGACTTTGCTTTTATAAGCACCACCACAACAGGGTAATCTTGTAATGACCAACATTTTGGTTGCAAACTGTGAGTTATAATTAAGCATTAATTATAACTAATAGTTATAATTAAGCTGAATGCTCCAGTCTGTAGCCCTCTCCAGCACATAAAGCGGTTTCTGAGTGCAAGGCACGTGTGCTCCACGGAGTGCAATTAGACCCTGCTCTCCTGGTCAGCTACACTGGGCATGTGGCCAACAAAAGCATAACCCTGTTGGATTCAGGAGTACAGAGTACTTGGAGACTCCAGGGATGGCACCACAGTTGTCCCTCTGTGCCCTAACCCTTGTTTTGAGCTGGTATTAACCCTGCAAGAGTACTGCAGGATTTGAATCAAGCAGCACAATAGTCCTGTGTTTTTATTAGAAGTGAAAATGACAACCTTTTCCTCCACATCACCTCTTACCTACATTTCTGATGCAACAAACATATTTATGCCATGGACAAGCACTCAGAAAATAGAAGGTGGCTAATAATTTGCAGGCAAATGGGAGATGCTTTTATAATTTAATCATAGAATCACAGAATGATTTGGGTTGGAAGGGACTTTGGAGAGCGTTATGTTCCAACCCCCCCACCATATGCACAGACACCTTCCACTAGACCAGGTTGCTCAAAGCCCCATCCAGCTTGGCCCTGAATAGCATACAATCCTCTTTTCTTTTTTCCCACTGTTGTATGTTCAGAGTTATTACTAAACAAGCCAAGATCCTGCAAATCACTGAAGCACGCGCCTTAGGCCTGCTCTGATCTAGGAACACAAGATCTAAGCCCAAGCCCAGAGAAGACAGCGAACAAATTGACTTCTGGACCTCTGATGTGAGCCCATGGTGACTGCAATGGCACTTTTCTTTCAAAATTTTCAAGCTGATGAATCATTATTGCTGTTATCATCACTAGGGTGACGCAGTACTCCTCAAAGGAGTAATAAAACACTAAAAATGGGAGTGGATAAAGTGAACAAGGTCCTGTTGTTAACTTCCATCCCTCCACTCATAAAAATCTCCCTTCTGTCCTTGGTCTTTGGACCCCACTACTATGACAACACATCAGTTTTGGCACAGGGCAAACCCGCATCCGAATTAACAGATAATCAGGGGTTGCAGAGTGTTCGTGGAAAGAAATGAAATCAGTGTCTTTTCTGGGAGAATAGGTTTTTTAAACAGGTGTGTAAAGAACAGCAATAACCTGCAAAGAGCAGTTGTGCTGAAATGATGGCGGCTGCTTATCAAAATGTCCCGTTGCAGGGCTGAAGGGGGCATCCTAGTGTTTGGTCTTGTTTAGTTTGGCATTAGAATTTATCCTGACACTCCCAGTCCCCCCAGATAATGCCATATGAATGAGGAGTTCAACAAGGAGTTTTCACACAGTTCACGTTTCTTAACTCTTTCTGTGCATAATAAGCTAATGTAAAATGCAAGGAGAAAACATTTATTCTTACCATTCCCTTTTAAGAATAAGTCAAAGAAGGCAGTCCAGGTATCTACAGTGGGAAGGTTTGGGTTATCTCTGTAGTAATGGTACATGGAAACAGCAGTGTCTTTTGGATTTCTGCAGATGTAGATCATCTGTAAATGAAGATGATATATTTATTAATGATAATATCCTTTGTTTTAGAGAAGCTCTGTGTGTAAATATAGCATTTTCACAGGCAGTTGGCAGTGTCAAAGCCCTTCCCTTCAGGATTCCTCCTTCAGTGACCATGCCATTAAATTAGAAATGTATTTGTCTCTTCTTAGGCAGGAGTCAGTAGTGGTTAGTAAACAATTCCATGTGGAAGGAGGTGTGTTTGTCACAGCTGGGTAATGTTTACGTTTTGTGAAAGAGCCTGTGTTAACTTTAACTCATGAGTCAGTTTACTATCTCATATATCTCACGTATGAAAACATTTACTAATTAACATTTTCGGGACAGCTGCAAAACATAAATTTTGGCATTTCATTCAAATTTGCTTTGTCCCAAAAGTCTGTACCCGAGTTATCCTGAAATTTTAGACTTTTAATAAAAAATCCAAGACTCAGAGCTTATTTTTAAAGACCTCCCACATTAGCACAGGAGGAATCAGTCTAATGGAAGGTGTCCCTGCCCACAGCATGGGGGTTGGAACTAGATGATTCTTAAGGTCTCTTCCAACCCAGGTGATTCTATGATTCTAGGAACTCAAAACTGTGACCTGAATATACCTCCTATGTTTCATTTCTCTTCTGTTCACCCAATATCTTTATGGGTTCTTTACAAAGCTTCAGCAGGAGGGGCAGAGTACTTTCAACCCCAGTAGAGCCTGTAAGTTCCCAAGATAACTATTTCCTAAGACACTAGGAAATGAGGCCATGAGAAAACCCCCATCCCTAATGAGAGATTTCTGATTGAAAGGTGTTGATGTTCTCTATTTTGTGTGGTGCCTGGTACACAAATCACCCCATGAGAGCAGTGGGGCAGGAGCAGAACCCAGTTCCTAGTCCAAGTCTCTGCTCATGCTGCCTTCGACTGCTGATCAGCTGTGTCTCCAGAATTCACAGCAAAGCACTTCTGGAAACTGTAAATCATTCAAAAATTATTAAGGATCAACAGGACAAAATATATTCCTAAAAGACGCTTAACATATCTTACAGCTTTTATGTAGTTTTTGCCTTACCTTGCATTTCTTATTCTTAAAATTCTGAGGTAACATGTTGTAGTCTAAGTGTGTTGGAATGATTCTCTTTGAGGAGAGATTATTCAGCTCCTCCAGTTTGGAAATGTCTCCAAATTCAATGGGAGATGTTATTGTAACTTGAGTGTTGTAAAGCTTTGTTATAACTCCTGCAAGCCAGTGGGTGCCTGCAGAAAAGTAATTTTTAAGAAAACAAACAAGCAAAAAAATATTTATTATTGAGAAAATGTGTGGAACATGCATTTTTCATATGCAAACAGATTGCTAGTGAACAAGGGATACTTCTAATCCCCCAGATTCAAGAAACTTTACATGACTGAATAATTCCATTGGCTCCAAATAAATAAACACTTGAAAAATTAGGGTTATAGCTGAAGTTCAAAGTAACCCTGTGAAAAGTGTTAATAATAGTACCAAAACAATCTCATTAGACAAACTGCTTGTCAGCTGAGAGGTGGTTATATTATTTTTATAATTTATTTTAGAATAACTTGTTTTGCTTGATTGTTTTTTTCCTTATAGTAACTAGAGTTTGTATATTTGAAAAGTACTTCTCCTTTGGTGTGTGTTTCTCTGTGCAAGAAAGGTAGGTGTAGAGGGGATAAGAAACTAATAAATCTACAGCCAAGAGCCATACAAATAACTTTACACAGCTCTTGACTTATAGAATTGAATATAGAAAGTCCTCAGGAAAACCTTTCAAGTACAAGTGCTGCTTACAAATAAGGAATATTTATTTGCATTCCAATATGAAAACACCTGTGAATATTTTCAATTACAGAATCAAAATGCAGGTAAATGATCCGTATTTCTTGTAATTTTAACATTTACTGACAGAATGATATATTCACTTACTCAAACATCCTTTCCTGTTTCTTCTACACAGATATTTCCCAAAGAGTTTAAGCAGAGAACATGAAACACACAATTGAGACTTAACTGCAACTTACATTTAAAACTAGAGCTTACCTGATTTGGGATAGGAAACCAAAAGGACATCATCTTCTCTAGCATCAAAAGCATCCAAGGATTTTAAAAGTTCTGGAGAAGACCTGGTGGTAAAGCGAATTCCCTTAAACATGTGTATGAGTTCTGCCTCAGTGGAGTTGGACATGGTTGCTTAAGTCTTGGATTCCTGCAAATCAGATAACAAGGAAATGATGAGGATTTAAGAGGCCCTTCTTAGTCAGATGGTTTGAAGTGACAAATTGAGACTGAGCAATGCAAACCTCCGGCTTATATACTTTGCTACATGCCGTGAAGTCCTATCAGATATTGATTTTGCCAGTAGTTGATAAAGGCAACTGACATGTTGGAGGTAACTTAATAAATAACTGAATTGCAGAGTCATGGAAAATGCATGTCTTTTGTCCTTTATTGGCTCTCCAGATAAAGTAATGAGGTAATAGTTAAAAAGTAATTGTGGAAAATGACAAGAATTAATATTATATGTTACCTTAAAATATGCTTAATATGATTTTGCTGTAAGTTATACTGTGTGGGAAGCTGCATCTTAAAGTACTTTTTATTAATACAAAAGCAATGTCTTATTTTATGTGAATGAAATATTTTTTATTTCATTTTATCAAATATGCAACAGCCTGAAATTTCAAACGTGCAAATCAACTCCAAATGCTTGGATCTTGTGATGTTAAGGAACTAGTGTTTTGAAGATTTTCTAATTTCAGCCTGAGGAATCTTAAAAACAGAGGCCTTTAGAGGCAATATAATTTTTTAAGATGTCATATGTCTCCATAAGAAAATATAGACAGCAGAAGTCACAGACTTAAAATAGATATATTGCTTGAATCCTGCTTATTTTGTGCCTAGAAGTAGTTGGAGATTTTTTAATCTTTCCCCAGAATATGCAGATGCATAAAAATGAAAGCCACTTTCAGGAAAGAGGCAGTTCTCCATTAATTACCTGGTTTCAAATGGTTGGGGGTATTTTTGAAAAAGTTTGAATGTGTGGAAATTGTCATTAATGTTTTAAACTGAAAGCTCCATTTTTATTTAAAGTGACCTTAAGCACTGTGAATGTATCACAGTAAAATGAATAGCTCAGTCTTGAATCAAAACATTTTACAGTGCTTAGTATTTTCAGTTTTCCTTTCAATGGCCACAATTTAATTTATTCTTTTCCCCATTCTTTTCCTCAACACCAAGTGGCTTCACTATCCCTACTGAAAGCCTCCTACAACATATTCAGCTGAAGACCCTTCAGTATCTTCAACTTGAGAACCTTCATGCAAATCTTGTTTTAAAATGAAGCAGACTTTGGGGAATTTCCCAAGGTAACCAATGTTCCAGTTCTTTTTTTTTAATCATAAATAACAACTTGGGTTTGGTCATAGGAGCTGACTACCAGATATGCTCCCACAATACCTGGTAAGATGTTAATAAATAGACATACACTTCCAAGAAACACTTGAGCAGTAAGGATTACTCACAAGGAGTAAGGGTAGTTACCATCTTCTGTACTTGCTTTTTTTCTAATCCAATGTCCCAAAAGGCCAGCAATATAAGATTGATTTTTCCCCTCCTTTCTTTTATCTGCAGTATTGGCAGCCTGCCATCAAAGAGGAGTGATCTTCTCTCCTGTGTGGCCTGTAAAGTTGCCCTTAAACAGTTATCACCTGCAAAATGTGCCCTGTGCCATCGGTAAACTGAGTTCCAGTTATGCAGGGCAAGGTGGGGTTGAAATGATGGAAAATATGCTGCAGAGAAATGTTCCTTGTGACTGGGGATGACAGGAGATGGAGGAGTCTTTCCCGGAGGTAATCAAGTGAGTCAGTGAGGGTACAAGAAACACTTGGATACTGGTAGGAGTTCAGCATTTTCCTCTTGTTCCCAGACTGAACACCTAAGCCATTGCTTCATACCTGAAGGTGTAAATCCTTAAAAATCTATCCTCTGTCAACAGATTTCACTTGGGCCGCTTCAAGTATACTCAGCATGTTCAAAGACATAAAGACACCTGTTTCTGTGTTATTCTGAGTGTCTGTATTAATCTGAATACAGAGATTTCCAAGGTTTATTTTGCAGTCGTCATTCCTGCCACATGCAAGTCGCCCAAGCTAGTAAAACTTTATTGCCTTGACCTGGCAGAAATAATCTCATTGTAAAATGTTTTGCATATTTACCATGCTTATTCCCTTTCATTTCCTCCTGCATTCCTCTTACATTTTGAGTCAGCACATTTACCTAATCTAATGACTTGGACCTGAATTAATCATTCTCAACATAAATTGCTAAGGTGTAAAACAGAAGCAATATAGTAGCCAATTGCAATTCTTTTAACTCTCCTCAATTACTTTCTGACTAGCTTATCTTTTCAGCATGTATAATGGTAATCCAGGGGAATGAAGTTGAATTTTTCTCCTTCTCAAATGCTATCTATACCTGGAAAATAAGGCCCATCCCTGCAAGGGTACGGTATCCTGAATTGCAGTAACTTCTGGAAAAAGAGAGTATTCAGCATCTTGCAGGAAAAAGCTATTATTAAAAATATGCTAACTACATTGCCATAAAAAACACATTATTGTAGCTACATTACCCAAAAGGAGCACAGGTTTAAAAAAGACCATGCCAAATTCTCCATGCAGCTTTGATTTTCTTCTTTATTGATATCTGTATATCTGTTAATATATCTCTCTCTATATATATCCATTCATATATAGCAGATGTGTAAATATATATACACACACCGTGATTCCGGTATATAGTGCCTGATATATGTGTGTATATATACATATATACATACAAATATATATATATAAAATGTTATATGTCCTTGTCCTGGTCTCTGGCCCTGCTATCAGTATCAATGGAGTACACGAGTCAGCAGCAGGTTTCACAGATATTTTCTGGTAAGACAGTCAGTGCGGAACCCGGAGTTTGGAGGTTCTCCATGATTTGAGCAAAATACAACTGAGCAGTTGGACACTGCACTCCTGGGCTGCTTCAGTCCAGCTCCTCCTGTGTCCGTGTCTGACTTACCTTCTCCCACTCATATCTTTGTCTGGGTGAGTAACTCCTTTCTGTTGCTACAAATGAATAAAAAATTTGACTGTTCTGTTCCTGCCTCTACCCTGCAACCTCCAATTCAGGATCATCATCCTCTTCTCTGCTTGAAAAAAGACAGTAGCATGTACACCTCTGTCAACTGAAGATTTCTCAGCTGAGGCCAGTGACTGTTCCCCTCCAAACACATCTTGTTACCAAAATCATCTGGAATCATCAGGATAACTAAAATCTTCTAACACTGCCTTTTTAGTGTTAATGAGTGAGGCATTACTTTATTCTTGGTTAGGAGGCGTGTGTGTGTGGCCAACAAAATTCTTACCTCCACATAGACACTGATACAAAACTTTTCCACTTAATTATAGATTTTTAGCAAACAAATTAATGTTCAATGGCTGAACAGTGTTTATCAAAACTTAAAGTTTTAGTAATTTTCCCAAGCTGTGTTCCCACAGTAGCAAGTTATGACAACTTTGCTAAATGCTAACTAAAAGTGACTTAAGACATTACTCGTGATTAATTAAAACAACTACTTAAAACCACTTAAAGATGGAAAAATTATATAATTTCCAACAGTCTCAGGAAGCACATACTAAAAGATATTGTCTCACTGTGGAAAACATGCAGACAAAGTCGTATGTGTTGGCTACACAAGTCAAAATTTGGATGTACCTCCACGGGGTTCTGAATGTTTTTAGCTAACACTGTCAGGCATCAGGGTTATCATTTTTTGAAATGTCCTAAAGCTGTGAAATATTTCAGTCTTGTCATAATGAATGGCGAGGTAAAATTGATATGGACAGTCATAAGGTTTTGTTGTTCCAGTTCTCCACCAGCTAGACCAGATACATGAAATTGGTAGAAATTACGTGCATAAAGATTGTCCTCGTGCATCTGTGTAAAATTTGTGCAGAGGGTCTGCAGCAGTGATGACAGAACAACGTCTTGGGCCACCTCCAGAATCATCCCCTGAGTCATAGTCTGTTTGGGATATTCTGCTGTTTTAAACCACTCCTGAGATTTTTTGGGAGTCTTGCCACCCCACTGCAGACATCATAGTGTGCTGTGGGGAAGAGGGTGACGGCCAAGAACTGAAAAGGCTCCAGTTCGTGGTTGTTCCAGGTGAACTGACATGGCAGTTCCAGGTTGTCGGGTGAACTGACATGTCCTTAAATGATAAAGAGAAAGCATTTAGCTTTACCTGATGCACCCGGGAGAACTGAAGAATTTCACTAAAGGGTTTCAGGGAAATCCCTACTTATTTTAATGTTACAACTGCAGCATCTCATTTAAGTTTATGATCAATAGCTATTTAATAGACACAACCTGCAAAATGGTTGGATGCAGCATGAGTGCTCAGATTGTTTGGAATTTAGGGCACCTCAGTGTCTGAATGCTGACAGTTTAGGAACCTAAACCTGGGCTTCTATGTGGTTCTGAAAAAAATATAGTTGCAAGGTGGATGTAGAGCTGCTCACAACACATTGAGATTCTTAATAACTCTTCTTCAGTGTACTCTGAGCTGGTCCCAGCTATTAGGTCGTGTGACTTAGCCAGAACTGCTCCACTGGAATTGGCATTGGATTGCTTTTATTCCAACAGCAGTTCTCTTCCTGGTGGGCTTTGTTGCAGTGTCTCAGTGCTTTCAGAGAGGCCTCTCTCCATTAACCCAAAGCTCAACCCTAATCAAGCACTATGAGCTCACAACTCTGTTTTCAGAAATCTCTGACTTCACAGGCACTGCAACCTGTGGCACCTGTGCCTGTGATTAGGTAATACCATCAAGGAAGTCAACAGTACGTGCAGAGTCATGTTGCATTTATGGCATGTCAGATTGTAAAGTTCCGTGATCTTTCTTTATCCCTGTCACAACAAATCATCGCCTGAGGATATTTTGTGCCACATCCACAGCTGATAGAGCTAATTATAGAGCTAATTATAACCGTCCCAGAGCTCCCTTGGAAAGCTGGCAGGCAATTGCCACCTCTGAGGTCACTGATACCTCTCCAACTTCTGACCCGCACGTTATGACGTCTTCAGGGCATTCACACGTATTAATGAAGACGTGAAGGGGTGGCAGGGGGAGAAGAAGCAAAATATAAAAACAAATGAGGATTCTAACCTTCACTGGTCTAAAAAAAAAAAATATATAGATGATGCTGTGTGCATGCAGGAGGGCTCAGCCAGGTAGGCCCTCTC